AAGAAGACATCATAACTGTTATTTTGTATCATGATCCTTCACTTGATTCAGCTCTTGCCAAGGGAATCCACCCCTACTAACTATTTTGAGAATTAAATTGATGATCAAATATTGCTCACCAAGTCAATTAAGCCTAGAGTCAAGTGGCAAGCTGAGTGGTAAACCTTGCACATCCAAATCAATTTTCTAATTTTTTTGTTAGTACCTTAACCATGTTATAAGAGGATGCTATTAGATTTATTTAGTTTCAAGAAAAGATGAAAATTTTAGTAATGGATGGGGTGCAGCTTATCTAATCCAAATAAATTTTTTAATGATTAAATATATCTTTCTTATGAAGAGGTTTATGGTTTATCTAATCACCTTCACAATACTTGTTTATAAAGGTTTATTTAATAATTTTTAATAAATATTTAATATATTTACATAAAAGCAAACCAAATATTTATTTTAAATTAGTTTACACATTATAAATCTATACTAGATAAATTAAAATAAATATAAAATCCAAATTAATTAAGTAGCATAGTACTACTAAGAAAAAACAATGTAACAAAGAGTGAATAAGTAATATTTTATATTTGCAACAGTTGTATTTATTTTATATTAAAAAATAGAGGTAATTTCTAGAATTACATTTGTTATAACCAAAATAATTCCTTTTTTACTATTATCAATGATAAGCAAAGGAAGCTCGTTTTTATTTCTATTTTGATTGAATGATGAAGTATCTATGGATATGGTTTAATATACTTGTAATACTTTTATTTGGTAATATTCAATCACGAATTATTAGATTTGCTGATAACCGATGGCATTTTTCAAATTTCTATATTAATAGAATTATAACTATTGTTTCCTTAATGCTTGAAAGATTATATAATGAAGATGAGACTTATGAATTCGGTGCAACAGTTGTAGTTGATTCTGAAACTGTTTCTGATAAGAAGAATTATTCTCCGCAGCTTTAAAGAATCAGATATTGGTTATTCTAGTTGTTCTATGGATCCTAATTCAGTAGTAGAAATTACTAGTAAACAATTATTTAAAGGATTACAAGAGATTTATCCAAAATTAGTAGGAGAAGCATTAGCTAATGGTCATCTCATTATACTTGTGAAAATTATGAGCTTGAGTATATAAATACTGGAAAATCTACTATCCTCCACTTTATCCAGTAGATTTTCTTAATAATAATACATATTTAACATCAAATGATTATGATTTAACTTCTTGTTGGTCACATGCTTATGAACTTACAAGTGGTCCTAATCAGTTTATAGGAACTTATCTTCATGTTAAATGAGTCAAATTGTAACCTTATATTATATGATAGATACTATTTTTGTTTAAAATGCAATTTGTATAGAAGAATAACTATTGCTATAAAAAATTCTGGTTTTATATGTTTGTATGATACAATTAAAAGAAAGAAAAAGATTTGGTGTTTTTAATTTTCTAAATTTACCAGAAAATAAAATAAAATGACAACATTTTCATAGCTAAAAGTGAGATCTTCTGAGTTATGTCTAAACTTTAATTAGGAACTAATGAGGTGATTATCCAGATGGCAACGCTTTAGGGCAAAGCGGATGTCTTCTCCTCCTCCAGGAATGCGTCAGGCGTCGTCGTCCTCAGCTTCTCCTTCCGTTCCAATGGCGCTGCCCAACGCAGCTAGCAATGCGTGCGATAGCAGCGGCGCTGGCGCCGGCGGAATCAGGTCGCAAATTCATGTCGACGGCAATCTGGGAGCTCTGTGCGAGCACATTCAAGCTCAGGGCTGGAATTCCAGGGCATTCTCCGATATTGTGGTTCATGCCATGGGATCCACATTCTATCTCCATCGCCTGCTGCTGTCGCGAAGCTCCTTCTTCAGGTATTGCGAGGGTTTCTTCGTACTTGGTAGCGAGAGATTTACTCTGCGTGTTTCGTGTTTGTTTGTAAGAAATATGCTCCAGGGACCATGGAAGGAAGCCAGTGCTACCGAAGTGAAGCTCCAAATTGACGATGAGAACGTAAATGCCGAGGCAGTGGCGACTGCTCTGAGTTATTTATATGGCCATCAGCCGAGACTAGACGATGGAAATGCCTTTCGCGTGCTTGCTGCCGCGTCGTTTCTAGACTTACAGGTGAAAGAAAAAAATATTCTAGTCGATTTCTGACGAGGCAAAGTATCATGTGTTTGCAGGATTTATGCGCCTTTTGCACAGATTTCATTATTTCCGAGCTCTGGACTGAGAACTTCTTGTCGTACCAGGTGCGTGCGACTAAGCTTTTGTCGTTCGCGGCGCAAGCTAGTAATATGTGTTTGCGTTTTTTTCGTAGGCCTTCGCAGAGACGCAAGATTATGGTATCCACGGAGAGCGCGTCCAGAAGGCGTGCTGGGGATATCTGTGCCGTGGTGCTGCAGTAGAACTTCGAGAGGTTGGTGACATTCATTTCACGAAATAGATTTTTGTTTTACGCTGCTCCGCTGCTGCAGATTCTTCCAAAACTTTCAGCTCAAACTCTACGTACATTATTAACGTCTGACGAGCTCTGGGTTCCTAGCGAAGAGAAAAGGTAGCACATAAATCGCAGCAGCAGCTCTGATAGCTGACGTCTTGGTTTTCGGTTTAGGTTCGAGCTAGCATTGAGTGTGCTCATTGCTAGAGGTGTTGTTACGGAGATTGATTCGTCCTCCATTTCGGATGAACTCTCGGAAACAGGTCTTGGAGATACGTCCTCGGACGTGTATGTTATGCCGTTGAGGACCGAAGAAACAGGTGGTTCATACCAAGCCGAAGCTCATCAAAACAACGAGGGCGACGTCGTCCAAGCCATTCAAAGCATCATCTTGGAGATGGTGGATACAGCCACAACTGCCAAAGAACAGGCCACTCGTGGCTCGAGCTTGGGTTTGGAGGCAAATGTCACAGGTAGAATGGAGGCCGCTCGGGAAGAGTTTTGGAAAGGTGGTGGCGGCGAATGTTCGTCCTCAACAAAATCTTCTTCCCATAACTGGGCTCGTCCGTCCCCATCTTGGGGTGGACGATTGGTTGGGCGAAAATCAATGAAGGCTTACCCAAACAGCGACTGGACCAACAACGACGAATGGGAAACGTTCATAAGCGTTTTTGAAAGTGGAGGGATACACTATTGTCACATGCCTTTTGAGGACTTGCTAGACTCAAGAGCTCGTCTCGAAGAGCTGGGATTTCCTTGCAAGTCCGTTGCCGACGGGCTTTGGTTACAGGTATGTCTTTCTTAAGTTGGAAGTTTTACATCTATATGATATGAGACTTGTTGTCATTGTTGCAGACACTTCTCAGGCAACAAGTCTTGTCCGTTGCTGCGGATACGTGCAAACTCTGCAGCGTTTCTCTCGCTTTATGCCAGTGCAGGCAGTCGTATGTCTATCCACCACACGGTCGAATCTCGACGCCTATTCCTTACCGGGAAGAGCAAGACAAAAGCCAAGTTTTAGGAATTCATCCGCTGCCCGAGAATCAAAACTTGCCTGCTGCATCGAACGGGCAAGCCAGAGTCCATGTCAGAGGAGGCATGGACGGCCTCGCTGGTATCGGTCGCAATGGTACTACATGGCCGCCAGCTCGTATAATGTTTTCGAGAGTACCTTTCCCTGGTGCACACAGGGGGAACCAACAGCAGCAGCTCATAGCAAACGATCAAGCGGTTGACTACACGGCAATGGATTTGCCAACTTATTCTGTGGATGGCTTGAATATGGTGGTCGGACTGAGCCAGGGGATGAGCAGCGTTCCAGTTCAGTCAGATAACAATGGCCGGCCAGAGGATCAAACGCTTCAAAGATCAGTGACCGGAGAATCCGTCAATTCTGAGAAGCTTGATGTTCAACTGGCCTCAGGAGAGATTGGCCAGGGGTCGTCAACAATATCCCTGGATTTGCGAACGCCTTTGCGAAGTTTCCCTCCATTTCGCTTCGGGTACGTACTGAAATGCCATTTGTATTGACCTGATGGCTTTGCTTGTCGCAGGGTAGAATTTGATGACGTGCAGAGACTAACAGATGGACAGTCGAAGCACTCACCTGAAGTGTTTTATGCGGGCTCGCTTTGGAAGGTACCCTCCGTTCGCTTTTTCCTCTTGAGCTTAATTTAATGACAATGAACTTTTGCATGGCTCAGGTGAGCGTTCAGGCTTTTAATGATGAAGACCCACGCTGCAGGCGAACACTCGGTATGTTTTTTATGTCTATAAGGGGCTACAAGCTCTGATTGTTTTCAATCTTCAGGATTGTTTCTACATCGGCGGAAAGCGGATGATTCTGGACCTTTTAGAAAAGTAGAAAGTACAGCCGGAATTCTTGCTTCTAATGAATGTGCTTGTTTGTGCAGGTTTCTCTTTACATAGACACGAGAGAAAAGGTGACAGCACGGTATCAGGCAAGTGAAGAAACATTCTTGTTCCCTTTCCAAAAAACTTACATCTTTTGCCTTTTCTTTCAGTTGATATGTCCTGCAAAGCGAGGTGTTATGACTTTAGGCAGCCTAACTCAAGGAGGCACACTTCTCCCCAAAGCTCCCAAAGGCTGGGGTTGGCGAACGGCGTTCCTATTCGATGAACTTGTGGATCTTCTTCAAGGAAACACGTTCCGAGTTTCAGCGGTGGTGCAAGTCGTGGCCAGCCAGTACGTCTGAGAAGAACTTTTATAGTAAGTCATGGAACTCCCTTTTATTCACTGGCTGATGCCGTGTGACACTGGGCGTTTTTTTTTATAATGCAGGGAATGTGGGCTGTTCACTATTTGACGGAGCAAAACCGGTGTAAGTTTTATATCGCTTGTTTCTAAGTTAAGTCTCAGATGCGATCAATAGCCGGGCTGTTGGGCGCCCTGTTTTGGACAGATCTAGGGCTCTATGAGGTTGCTGGACGATAGAAATGGAGACTCATGACAATCCAAGTTTAGTAGCGACAGCGAAATAGAGCAGGGAAGAGCAATGTCGGGATCCAGCTAGAAGATTTCTACTTGGCTGGGAGGAAGGAGGATTACAATTCAGCATGGAAGATGAGCTTTCAGGCGACTTGCTGGGCAACGTCTTACGACCACCTTCACTGCGTGTTAGCAGAAGTTCAAGGACGAGCCGATCAGTTTCAAGTCCTCATGGGTCTCCATCGTTCAGGAGGCAGCATTCTCTGACCGTGAGGACTCCAAGGAAGGATGAAGACTCCAGTTTACTGTTCCGGTGGTTTTACTGGTTGCCGAGATATTTCAATCGGAGGTTACCGTGGGTGTTTCTCATCGCACTTTGGGTCTTTCTGGTTTTTAAGGTGTACTCTAAGGATCCGGCCACAGTTGAGAACGTGATAGCGGAAGATGGTGAGGAATTGAGACGACATGTTGCATTGAGGAGTCGAAGTGACGAGAATTCCGTGAAGTCGGGGCTGTCGAGACTGGCTAGAGATTGGATCTGGCTTGGCTACATGAAGAAGAACAGGACCGCTCCTCTTTTGCCAGGGACTACTCAAGTCGAGTCTGATATTATCGAGCACCGAAGGACTTTCCAGTACATACAAAATTCTTCCGACATGAATTTCAAGAGGTTTCAAGCTCTGCAATCTGGAGATTACTTTCTTGGTAGAGTTGTCGGCCCTTACGACGAATTGGAACAGAAGTTTCTGGGAATGTCGACCGAGAAGAAGACACCAGCTCGAACATGCAGCTCAGACGAAGGCCGTTTCAAGGAGTTCGCGAGCGGCAAACGTGTAGTCGTGCTAATGCACGAACTCTCGATGACTGGAAGTCCTCTGGCAATGATGGAGCTTGCGAGCGAGATAATTGGTTGCGGTGGAAAAGTCTCCGTGGTGGTTCTTGATAGAAGAGGTGGTCTACTAAACGAGCTCGTTCAAAGAAGAATTCCCGTTCTGGCAGACAAGGCAGCAAAGAGCTGGAGGGCAGCAGCAAAGGCCGATCTCGTCATCGCTGGCTCAGCTCTATGTGCCTCATGGATTGGTACGATAAGCTTGCAGTTTATGACTCGCGGGGTTGACTGACGTATGCATGTACAGGAGAGTACCTCAGATATCACAAGAAAGGAGCTAGCAAAGTTGTCTGGTGGGTGATGGAAAACCGCCGGTTGTACTTCGATCGTTCGAAGCGGATTCTTGATAAAGTCCGGGCACTGGTTTTTCTCTCCAAGACCCAAGCAGACCAATGGAGAGAATGGAGCAGGGGAGAGAACATAAGCCTCCCTTCATTGACGACTATCGTGAGCCTGTCAGTAAACGATGCCGTTCTCTCCGCAGCAGGGATAGACGACGCCCTGAAGATGGCAAAGCTGAGGGAAGAGGTGAGAAAAGATCTGGGCTTGAAACCGGACGACGTACTTCTTGCTACGTTGAGCAGCATCAATCCAGGGAAAGGACAGCTTATAGCTCTATATGCGGCTGCGAGTGTGATGGAGCAAAAGATGAATCAGTCCACGGCGTCGAATCTCAAGCTTCTCATTGGATCAGTCGGTTCTAAGAGTAACAAGCAGGAGTATGTTGAGAAGATGCTGAGCTTTCTACACCAGCATCCAGCGCTAGCAGACTCCGTTTTGTGGACTCCAGCAAGTGTGTCAGTTTCTGCTCTATACGCTGCAGCCGATGCGTACATCATGAACGCACAGGTTCGTGATATCTGTAGTTCCATCTTATAAATGGTGCTTGTTTGCAGGGCATAGGAGAAACTTTTGGTAGAGTTACTGTCGAAGCCATGGCCTTTGGATTGCCAGTAAGCTATTTCTGCTACCTTAGCTAGTGAGCTTGCTAACTCTGTTTGCTAGATTTTGGGGACGGATGCGGGTGGAACCAAAGAGATCGTAGACGCAAACGTCACTGGCCTTCTCCATCCCGTGGGAATCAAAGGCGCGCAAGCACTTGCCCAGAACGTTCTGGTTTTACTGAGGAGTCCCGCTTTGAGAAAGCAAATGGGTGGGAAAGGCAGGGACAAAGTTAAAGAGCTTTACACACAGGCGGCAATGTACGAGAAGTTAGCTGGAGTATTCACAAATTTGTAACCTTCTTCCAGTGACGTACCGTGCATAATAGCATGACCTCTGTTTTTTTATTTTTCCCTTCGTATTGGACTGTGTGTAGGTTAAGTCGAGTAAAGGGATGGGAGATCGCCACCAAGAAGGTGGGTGTTTGGAATTCTATCCGTTCTAATGTTTCAGCTGTTTGATCTGTCCAGTGGTGAAGTTTTTTGGTGCAATTCCCTGGTTACAGCAGCTGTCTGAAGCCGATGTTGTCAAGGTTGCTCGAGCTGTTTCTCCTAAACGATTTGGTATGTCACTAAACCGTGCTCTTCATAAATCGATCATATTTTTTTGTAGGAGCTGGAGAAGTGATCGTCCACAAAGGCACGACCGGTGATGGCTACTATTACGTCTGGAAGGGACAAGTGAGCTTCTTCCCTTTTTTAACTACCATTTTCAAAATCCTGCTTTGACACAGGCTGTCGTCGCTTCTACTGTCGACTCAGCTGAGTGCGTACTAGAAACTGGGCACTACTTCGGAACGAGTGCGTTTTCGAGATGTTTCTTAAGGCGCTCATGTGGGTTCTCTTCATTTGCAGTTGGCTTCGATTCCGAGGACATTCTTGAAACAACTGTTGCTGCTCGGGACGAGGTTGGGTTTCTGTATTACCTCGGTTATTTCTTACAGGGATTTTTTATTGCAGGTCATATGCTTAGTTCTTTACCATACAGATATTGCACTTTTGTTTCCGGATTATTTGTGGAAGCAAGGCATAACGGTGGAACGTATGCTGCGGCTTGAAAACTTGGAAGTAAGTACTTTCCTTGCGTCTGCCTTCTCAAATTACACATCGACTGTAGGAGGACTGCTGGCAAGGAAATAATTTGGAAGGAGCACCATGCGGGGTTTTATTCGGCCCGAAGGGGCAACCTCCTCGAAAAGTAATGTTTGGTGGACAGTTTGTTGGTCAGGTATGATGCCATGCTCTGTGTACATGAGGAAGGTTTTGCAACTTTTTCTACAGGCTCTAGCTGCAGCTGTGAAGTCCGTGGAACCATCCCTATCAGTTCACAGCCTTCATTCATACTTTCTCTACGTTGGGGATTTTTCTTGTAAGTGTTTATAATGCTTGGGTCTAGAAATGTCCCTCTGTTGACGTGTTTCAGTGCCAGTTTCTTACAAAGTGGAAAAAATTCGAGACAGCCCGGCCTTCGCGACTCGAAATGTGACTGCAATCCAGAGAGGCCGAAAAGTTTTCACTTTGTTAGCGTCATTTCAGGTGAGGATGTAGCCAGCTTTGAAAATAACATTCTTTGATTTCTTGTAGAGACAAGAAGAGAGTATCACGTACCAGGATCCTATGCCTGATACACCAGATCCAACTCGGGTTTGTGCTTGTGCTTTATTTGTTCTTTTATCCGCTGAAAGCTGTAAAAATGTAGCTCCGGTCTCTGGAACGGACAATGCTGTCGCAACTAGGTGATCCAAGGATTCCCATGTAAGAGTTTATTTCCATGTAAGACTTATTGACAAAACTTTCGTTAGGAAAATGAGGGAAAATCTTGCCGTTTATCCCATGAAAGTTCATCCATTAGATGTTCGGCTGTGTGAACCAAACAACCATATAAGTCCACGAAATTTAGAACCAAGGTACTTCATTGCTCTTTTGTATTTATCTGTTTATATTTGTTCATACAGCCAAAACCTCTGGCTTCGCTGTAAAGAAAGGTTGCCAGACGATCAAGCATTGCATCGGTGAGGTACTTGAAAAACTTAAAACTTCTCTTTACGTTTCATGTATCAGGTGTGTTGTGGCTTATGCGTCTGACTGGATGTTCGTCCAAACGGTCTTAAGGCCTTACGAAGGAGACAGGCGGGTGAAGTACCGTTTATTGAGCCTAGACCACTCGTAAGCAAAGAGTGCTTCTAACAATCACATTCTTCATTCAAGCTTTACAGGATGTGGTTCCATAAAGATATCAAGGCAGACGAGTGGCTACTTTTCCAGGTTCAGTGCCTAATGGTATGTTTTCGTGGTATAAACATCTCTTCACAGATCACAAGTCCACGAGCAAGCGAGTCCAGGGGCCTAGTGATTGGACATATGTACAATCAGTCAGGCGAGGTTGGTTTGTAACTTCAAGCTTTGATATTTTTCTTCACTTTGTTTTTGCTGCAGCTGGTTGTAACGGCCGTCCAGCAAGGTCTCGTCAGACCACAAAATCTGAGCTCCAAGTTGTGACATGAGAGGACAGCTTTAATTCTCCAGGAGCTCCTAGACACCAATTTAACTAACAGTTTTCTTGGTGAAGGTTCACCTTTCTGCCATTTTGTATTCTTGGCTTCGTGAATTTGTTGTAGGCTAGCTTCCTGAAATCTTTTAAAGGGGTGACTTTTGTTTGGTATTCACATTTACTCGTTCGCAGCAGCTGATGGAAGAGCGAGGCCAGGTTCGAATTAAAAATTCTACTGTGGATTTATACCGTGCTTGACCTGTGTATTGACTATCTTTAGGCTGAGGGCTATGGTGAAAGGGGCGCTCGAGGTGCATCTCCGGGGAGCTACCGGCATAAAAAACACAGATTTCCTTAGTACCGGTGACTGATCTTGCCGTTCTATGTTTGCTGAAGTTCTATCTGACACAGAGAAATGCGATCCCTATGCTATCCTGACTTGCTGGAGGCAGAGCTTTCAGAGCACCACGGCAAAGAGTAAGCCAACTAGCTCCCTGTTCTTCTTACGATATAAACTTGATTTGCAGGACAAGGCTCCAACCCGATTTGGAACCAGAAGTTTCTGTTCGTGGTTGAAGACGGAGTGAGCGAGCTTTTTATCAAGCTGTATGATGAAGACAGATTTACTGGAGACGACTTTATTGGCAGTGCTAAGTAATGTCCTATAATCTTGTCTTCGGATTGTTCATGAGTTTCCTTTTGAATTTTCAGGGTGCCACTGAACAGAGTCCTGTCTGAGCTTGATCATCCACTGGCATCCTACAATGTTATTCGACCATCCGGCAAGGTCAAGGGAGAAGTCATGGTTGCATTGAAATTTACTCCAAAGGTAAGAAGGCATTACAGAGGAAGTCACTCGTTTTAAACTTGAAACTGCAGCAGGAAGAGGATGAGGGAAGCTCTACTTTCTAAGAAAACACATGCATGTCAATAAAGGAGATCAATTCCGTTGCAAATTTTCCACTTGACTTCGCTTCTTTTCCCCCCGGCAACATTTTCTACTTGACTTCGTTTCTCTTCTCCTCGGCAACTGCAATCAGAACTCTTTTCATCACCTCATAAACTGCAAAAGACACTGCCGTTGGTGGCACAATCTGGAGCAAGTCGAGCTCGAGTCCTCGGTACAAGCCTCTGAATCCTTCGCGAGCAGACACAGCTCTCAAAACGTCCCAGGTGCTGGAGAAGTGCAAGGCGGTGTTAGGAACAGCACTCAAGCTCAACTCCTTCCTTGCCAGCTCCAGGGGGTACGTCAAAGTCGTGGACAAAGCTCCAGCAGCAGCTCCAATCGCGAGTGAGGCCACAACTCCGATGTTTTTGGTTGCGGGATCTAAGAACTTGCTTTTCAGGGCCTCGTAGGCGTAAAACTCGGCAGCTGCGCTGGGAACCATCCGCAGAAGCTCGGGCCCCAGCCCCGTGTACAAGCCTCGGACACCTTCCTCGCGAAGAACTTTACCAAAAGCCGAGAAAGTTGACGAGTAATCTTCTGGCTGGACAAAAACGAAAGGTCAAGTGGAAACAGGTGACGAAATCTCAAGGAGGAAGTGGACTCACTTGTAGCATCAACCGGTCCTGGATAGTGTTGAAGGGATACGTAGTGAGAAGGGAAGTCACAGCAGAGAGAGCTCCCGAAAGTGTGGAAATGGAGACCTCTCGCGGCAGCAGTGGAACAACCTTGGGATCTCTGGTGTGTCTTCTCTCCTCGCTCCTCTTGACGGACTCAAAGGTGAGGAACTGGACGCCCCTCTTGAGCGACCCAATGAAGATCATCATCATCCAGCTAGAGAGCGAGGCCGGGAAAAGGCCGAGAATGCCTCCAGGCTTCTTGGACAAGTTGGTTAGGACTTCCGACGTGGAGGTTCCTCCTCTCCGAGCGATCACTCGCGTTTTAGCCGCCCCGAGTGGCGCACACGACGCCGAAGACACCGCCCCTGCTATGGTGCCGCAGATGAGCTATACGGAGATCAAAAACGATGAAGAAGAGCTTCCAAGTAAGTCTACAAGCTTCTATGTTCTTTAAGCAAGTTTTTTTTTTCTCTCTTACATGTTTCAAGGCGAGGCTTTTGACGAATCCCAGAAATGGAACTGTGGTTTCCGGAACGGGAATGCGAAGATGCTGAACAGTCTCCTTGGGATCCTGTCGCAAAGAAAGAGTGACGAAAAGCTAAAGAGGTGAAAGCTACGCTTACTTTGTAGCCATCGCTCCAGGTGTTTCCAATGCTCGCAAGGCACAGAAGCGCTGCATTGTAGCCTCCAGACCCCATTGCGCTGTGGAGATCGTGAGTTCTCTGTCTCGCACTTCTAATTTTTCGAAGTTTCTCGCCCCAGAGTAAAGCGCTTTGGGCAGTTCCAACGATCGACAAGTGTTCCGAAATACGTGGCCAGATAAAGTCTGTAAAATCCACGTAATGTAATCGGGATTACGAACCTTTTGTACTAACTTTGCAACCAAAAAAAAAAAAACAGAAGAAAAAATAAATGTTGAATGCACAAAACTTTGGAGACAAAAAAAAAAGAAGTTTTGGTTGCAAAGAAAGAGATGGTACAATTTAGTCGTAGGGGATTTGCATGTAGGCCGCATCCGAGATGAAGGGAATGTCGGCGTACATCCCCATGATGGCGCAGCGGATGGTCTCGAGCGTGGTCAAGAAGTAGGTCCAAAACACCGCCAGCCAAAAGTGCGCGCCAATCTTCCCCCAGTAGATCCCATGCGGGATCCAGTCGTTGAGCGTGCCCATCACCTGCAAGATGATCTCCAGCAGCATCCCCGTGACGACGTGGAAGCGGAAAAAGTGCGGCCAGACGTTGCGGCGCACGATGCCGAGGTAGGCGACGAAGAAGTAGGCGAGGAGGAACCACGAGGGCAGGCGGCCCAGCAGGCGGAGCACCGGGTACGTCCAGAACTCGTACTGCTCGATGAAGCAGTGCAGGTTGTAGGCGGTCTCGGCGTACATCCACGACTCGCACAGCGGCATGATGTACGGCACCAGCGCCAGCAGCCGCCAGTACCACGCCGGCTTGCCCTGCATGGGCGGGAAGCCCTTGAACGCCGGCACGTCCTCGGGGCTCTTCTGGGCCCTCGTTCTCGTGGTGGGCGATGGCGGCGCTGATGGTCTCCTCCTCCCCCTCCTCCTCCAGCCTCCACTGCCCAGCAATCCACCACTCAGTCCAGCTCTCGCTGCCCGGATGGACAATCCGCGACTTGCTGGGAAGAAGAAGGCCGTGAGATGAAATGCGGGGTCCCTGGAGCAAGAGAGCTTTGCGTTTACGTACCTGGAGGTGGCACCGCGGTCCTTGCCCAGAGTGAGCTCCTCCCGGCGAGGAAGGAGCACTGGGCCGCGCAGCCCACTGCCGCGGCCATGACGAGCCCTAAAACATGTGATGACGTGTAGACCACCCTAAAAACACACTTCTCCACGTGGCACTTAATTACTTTGGAAATTTAGTTTAACGTTTTCTTTCTTTAATTTTTCTTTTCCTAGGGAGATATCATAGTTAAGCTCGCTCATTGGCACTTTAGGTGCAAGAAATCGAAGGGATTTTAGTTACTCTGTCTTCTTTTTTTTAAAAACTTTGTGAAGAACATGATTGAGTTGAGTAGATTGATTTTGCTTCTAGCGACTTCTTCCATGGTTGGTGTGGTAAGCTCTAGTATGTTTGAAATTTATAGAGATTCCTCTTGTGCTACTGTTGTAATGACTCTATCAACGCTTAATCAGTGTTTTTCTGTTGTACCATTTTTCGGATACAAGTAATTGCCCTCTTTTTACACACTTGTTCTAAGCAGTACTAATGTGTAATTGCGTTATGCAGTTTCATTTTCACAAATGAGTCTGGAATCTTGTTTTCTGAAGCAAATTGTTCAAGTGGGTTTACTACTTTGACTAACAATACATCAGTATGTGGCTCAACAAAAGCAACCTCCTTAGGAATTTTTTCACAAGATCTTGACAAGTTAAACCTATATGTTATTTAAAGGTGTAGACAAACTAAGATTTGAATTTGAAACTACTTGAATCTTGATTATCTTTTAAAATTACTTGATATCTATACATACATCCTTAAAAAGTATCATTTTCAATCCAATGTGCCATTTGTATAGATTTGAAGTTCTAGTTTATGCTATACAGACCAAACCAAACAAGTCCAATGGCACCTCTTCCTGGCCATTGTCGCAGTAGCTAAGCATCACCATATTCCAGGACATAATGTTGTAGTGAGGCATCTAATTTAGCCGCCATTTTCAATATCTCTCAATCAACTCAATTTTTAGGATGTTAGATGCATAAGCATTTGCATGGCTAGATCTGGAACCTGGTGGTGACTTTAAAAATGTTTATCTATCTTATACTATAATGATGTTTGTTCAAGTTTAGAAGACTGTTTTGTTGATATATAATTGTATACTATCAAACTAACCGCTAGTATGATCTTTACAAGTGATTCCATTCTGAAATGACAAGTGATGCAATTGATATATCAGTATATGGGTCAACAAAAACAGCCTCCCTAGGAATTATTTTACTAGATTTGACCAAGAATCTGTCAAATTTTATGACAAGTTAAACCTGTATGTTATTTAGAGGTGTATGTGTTTTTTTAATCAAAATAAGGTTTCGATACGATTGTCCCTCCTTAAAAAATATCATATTCAATGCAAGGTGCCATTTCTCTAAGTTTGGAGGCATTATACTATAACAACATTTATTTAAGTTTAGAATACTTTTGTTGATATATAATTATGCTATTCACAACCACTGCTAAGGTCTTTATAAATGATTCTATTCTGATGTGACAAGTGACATAATTGATACATCAGTATCTATCTCAACTAAAGCAACCTTCCTAGGACTTATTTCAGAATATTTTACTAAGAATCAGTCAAATTCTATGACAGTTTATTTTAATTTGAAACTATTTAATATTATTAGCTTTTAAATTAATTAATATCTTTCTTCAAAAATATTATATTCATGCAAGGTGCTATTTGTCTAATATAATGACATTTACTCAAGTTTAGAAGACTTTTGTTGATATATAAATTTATACTATCCAAAACCAACCACTACTAAGATATTTATAAGTGATTCCATTTGAAGTGATAAGTGACACAATCTATTTAATTAAGAAAGTTTCAAATTTTGAGAGTTTCAATCCTTAAATCTTTTGTTAATTCAAACCTTAAAGTACATTTAAAACTTTGGTGTTGCAACTCAAAATAATGTGCTTCTGACTAGTGAATCTTCTGAAAGTCAATTACAATATTATAATAATATTTTTATATTTTTATAGATAATAAAGCCCAACTCTGGATGAATTAAAATGGTTTCAGAGTTTTAAAAATAAGGATAAAATAAATATTTAATACAGATAACATTACTTGTAATAAAATCTAACATTAATGTTCATAGTGAAAGAACTTTATAAATGGGTGAAAATAATAACATAAACTTGTAAAATGAATTATTTTGAATTTTTAATGGAGAATATTGTAGTAAGGATGCTTTGAATTAATGTCCTCAGAATTTAGGGATAAGAAAATTATTAACAATAATGACACACATTTTTAGAGGTTTTATATCTATTTAAAAACCTTCTATACATACATTTAGGTTCTAATATTTTAACACTTTAATATTAACTTCTACTATAATAGAAATTTTAAGCATTTTAGTTTTGAAATTTATAGTTTTATATCTTACATTTCTTAGAAAAATTATTTTTGTTTATTACTAATTTTATTTAAGAAATTATTATCTTTCTTTAAATAAAAAATATAATTAATTTTTTGTAGCTTATTGATTTTTATAAATTCAATATCTATAGATTGTGATGATGTGCTGATATAGAAAAAAATATTTTTAGATTATTAGGGTTTTATATTTATACAAATAATCTGTGTTCTAGATTATGATGATGTCCTGATATATACTATATAAATTGTGATTATGATCTTCAGATAATAAATATTGCAATAAATATTAATCTATAAGGTTTCTACATATGGTATAAATATTTACTACATAGATATAACATAAATTATTTATATAAATATAAAACTCTAATAATTTAAAATTATCTTTTCCCTTAGGGTTCTCTCATTGTTACAGATTCTTATATAGAATTATTTATTATTTTGAAAGTTGTGATGTAATAGGGTAAAATAGTCCTCCATTATAGCTAGAGGAGCAGCTAGCAAACTATAAGATTATGGTATGCAATTGTGATTATAGTAGAAGTATCACATGTGTGACACTAGTGAGTATAAAGGTTATGGTTATGGTCTTGTCAAGGTTGAGAAATAATTATATTAAAATTTTCTAATTGTCATTTATAATATTTTAAATATCAATTAATTCTATATATCCCAAAAGCTTTAACCAATTTTTAAAAATTGTGCACTTTTATTTATATGCCCTTTTCCCTTTATATTTGAATTTTAATTATCAAGTCATTCTTTTTTATTGTTTACAGCTTCCACTCTATAGTAAAAAGCCCATGTGGCAAAAGTGGCAAAGTGGGAAGATTTTCAAAAACAGCCATTGAACCATATTAAACATAATTTATAACAACAAAAAAAAAACACTATTGAATAGAATAGAATAGAAAGGAGATTTTACACTACCCAATAACTTATAAGCAATTGACACACATTATATGCAATAAAAAGGTGTGTTAATACTCCTTAAGTTGGAAAGTTATATATGCCATGCATAACAACCATAGAAGACTTTTATTTTGCAAACAACATGTGAAGAGTGTGTTTATATAAAGTTTCATATAACACAAGTGAGTACACTACTAAATGATGAATGGAGAATATATGGACTAATCCTGAGAAAACAAGCATAAACCTCTTATTTTCCATCAACTCTGTATCATATATATAGAAAGAGAGTAAGGCTGAACTCACACACTTTTGAGAAAGTATAGAGAATGATTAGGTTGCATAAGGGCTTATAAACTTTTGAGCAAGCATTAGTTGAGAAAAAATATTCTATAGCATCTTGATGATAGTTTATAAGTTATAGTTAATCATATTAATCAAATCAAGTTGCACTTACTCCACTCAAGATGCTTGTCCTATCAAAATAAGCATTTTTCAGTGATCTTGTTAAAATAAATAAATGAACAAGTGTATGAAGGAGATATTTGTCATTTGAAAATCACATAATTTATGGCTGTTGAGATATATTTTTTCTTAAACAAATGATATTTCTAAATGATATTATGGTTGTTGACTCAGATCCTTTATTTCGAGTTGATGATACTCTAGGGAACATTGTTATTTCACTAAACTTAATATTGAGGTATTAAATAATACCTATAATTAATACTGAAGTAGTAAGTTCATGTTGGTGGGAGGGTTTTACCACATTTCAGAGTAAAATGGATGAAATGATAGAATTTTTTGAAGGGATTGCATAAGTTTATTTAGACAATTTGTTAATCTATATTGATAGCACGTGATATGATCATTTGTGACATGTTGAATAAATGCTTCAATAACTTGAAAAACACTTTCTCCAACTCAAACTTCCAAAATGTTATTTTAGGCAAAACGTTTTGAGATATTTAATTTTTAAATACGAAGTGTAGCCAGATTTTGAAAAGATTGATGATTTTCTTTATCAAGGCCCTATCCTAGCTTTTGAAGTTATTAAAATGCTGATATTAATTAGTCTTTTGCATCTAATTATCATCTTAAGATAGATGTATAACTTTGTTGAACAATTGAATCAAATATTCAAAAGGCATAATTGTGAAGTATATGATGTCATATTTGCAAATTATTTATATACTAGCATCACAAAAGTCTACTGACATCTCTCTATTCCATGTATTATTTGGGGGGAGCCTCCTATTGTGGGTTTGATGTCAATTACCCTATGTTATCTAGAGTGGAAAACATGGTTAAAATATTTGAATTGAGTGTTGCCAACATCATGTGCATAATTTTTAGAGTCATAGGCAAGGGCGAAAGAGTATTATAAGTAAACCTATGTTGAGTTATCAACAAAGTGATATAATGTTAGTGAAGTTTCCTCACCTTGGAGATTCCTCACCTTAGAACTGATCTATTATCCCTGTGGATTGGACCATATCAAGTGCATATGTCTTTTGGATTCTACCATTTTACCAACAATAATACTTGAAGGGGAAAATATATACTATATAGATATAGACAAAATTAGCTTGGCTATAAAATTAGTTTTAATGTTGAGATTCCCTATTTCATAACAAATAAAAGCATCTTTAATCTATGAGCTGCAATCTATCAACAATGTAGCTTGTCTATTTTGTTCATAATAGTCATCAAGAATTTTTCATGAAATTGTAATTCCTTTGATTATACTTAAATTCAAGTTTGAAAGTTGTGATTATATGCTAATTATCCAAAATAACCTGAGATTTTCTCCTTTTTCATTTATATTAAATAAACGATGAATATTATTGCTTCCATTACAACTTTGATCTCTTATATGGTCCAAAGACCCCTTCTTGTGCAACTGAAATAACAAGCTGAAAAGAAAACAGTTTTAGAATAAGATAATATTTTGGATTTTTATTCTCACTTCGCCAGATTGAGTGTACATATGTCCAGTTGCAAAGCCACGTCCATTACCAGCAAAAGGACTTTCCATCTGAAAAAGATCATATAATAAAAAACAATATCAGGACAGCGTACTAACCACAAATAATAGCCATTCATCTGCTCTGAAAGGTTGATGGAACCACATCCTATACGAAAACGTATAAAAACATGGTAACAACCAAAAAGAGTAATAAATGCTTACGAGTGGTCTAAGCTCAAAATTCTAAATCTCTGCCCTGATGATGTTCTCAAAGGTCTCAGAGCCGTCCCAATGAATTGAGAGTCAGAAGCATAAGCAGCAACACAACTATATGAAAAATTTAAAGACTTTACCAGTAATGTAAACGTAGAATAATAACATACCAGTGAAGGGATTGATCGTCTGAGAGTTTTTGACGTGCTTTTAGCCACACTCGCTGCCTAAAAAAGAAAAATAGAAAAGGACATTAAACCTTAAAACAGAAAAAAGAAAAGAAAGAAAGGAAATACCTCGGTTCAAGTTGAGTAGGATTTACAAGATCGACTGGATCACAAAGTCGCACTTCCATGGGATATTGTAGATGTGGAGCCGCTGCAAGCTTCTTCTTTATACGCCTGCCAAGGATATTAGAACCAAACATTGCCTACCTTTAAGAATCTTACAAGGGAATTCGGGCGTCTACTCGGTATCTTTGCTCAAGAACTTCTCTAGGCAAAACCTGCAAACTCAGAAAGAAACTCAAGACCATGCTCTAGAAAATAAAAGAATTACATCCTCGGGTCGAGGTGCTTCAGGCATGTCTCGTTGGTGCTCCAAACTTTTCTCTAATCTCTATGACAAAAGAATTGTGATCAACTTGAAAAAGATATGATGTAAATCTTACCTGGAAGGAGGCAGTCAGCCTGAAAATCTCTTGTCCTCTTTGCATTGCTCTGACGCACCTTGTTGCAAACCTGTGGCCATCTCGTACTCTTTCCACTTGGTACATTATAGGCACTGCATCAGAGTTTTAGCTTTCTTCCTTCCAAGTTAGTTCTAACACAAACTGCCTACGAGCTTCATCTCCAGCCACGAGGAAATTAGAGTGCAGACTGTGCACAAGAAGGGAAGGATCCACGGATTTACAAGCGGCTGCCAAAGCCTATCGAAAGGAAGAAAACGAAAAGAAGGAAAGAAAAACAGAGTTCAAAGATTGTAAAACTAGTTACCTGGCCAATAAGTTGTCCACCAAAGACACGCCCAGTTTCAGAGGGATACGCAGTAAGACCACGATACAAGTCAACCTGGAAGAGCACAGATGAAAAAAGCCGATGTGGCCATTGAAGCTTACATCCAGCTTGTCCAGCTCAAGAACTCTCTCCACCGTAGCCACATCCTTTCTTTGATTGTCAGTCCATATAGAGTCCGAAGACACCAAGGCATGGTGTTCATGTGTGAGCACTAAGCATATCACCTGAGAAAAACAACATAAATCCTTATCAAAATCTAGAAAGGAAAGGAAAGCATGAAGACCTCATCAACAGCAACAACATCAGCCTTGTGGATCTCTTGGAGATGTTCCGGACAAACTGTGGAGAACAGATCGAGCAAAAGTTACCTCCAGGAGCAAACTCACCACTTCCAAAGTAGTCTCCTGGTTTTAATATCAAAGTGTTGCTCACACCAGCGACTTCAGCCTAACGAGATCGAACAAACTTTTGATGAGGGAAAAAAAAAAGCTTTTAGAACTTCACCTCTCCTTTCCAGACAATGTAAAATCCTTCTCCCGCCTCGCCTTCTCTCACCAGCGTCTCACCAGGAGCTACAGAAGGATTAGAGAAAGGGAGGAAAGAAAAAGCTTCCCTTGTACTATACCAAAACGCATTGGCTTGAGAGCGTGAGCGATTTTCTTGATCAATCCGGCAGGGAGCTGCTGGAGCAGTGGAACAGAGCCTAGGAATTCCATGGCTGGGCGCGCAAAGTAAACGCTAGCATTCGAAAACAACTCAAGGAAAAGAGTACCTTGCTCCACGCTGACGTCCTTGTCGCCAATTGTGAACAAGATAGCCATTGGCGGAAGAACCCTAAGCCTCGGCAGTGGATAAAAGTGCTCAAGCAAGCTAGCCGATAACAAAGGAAAGCATGACATACGACGCGGACTTTTGCGGATCCAAGGGATGCTTGAGTGAAGACCGTTCTTAAGTCACGCAGCCTTGCGATGATGCTGAGAAAGGTGGCTTCATTCCTTAGACTGGTTTGTGGAAGAACAGCAGTGCGAGCATCTCCTGGAAAGCCACCAAAGTCTTCTCCTTCCGAGACATCACAGTCCACGTTGCTACGACTTTCCGCTCGATCTGGTCGAAAGTTTCCCTCGCATCGTCCAGACTTTTGTACCTCCCATACATGTTGACGAGCGCAGTGCCAATGCCGGATGCCAAGTTCGCCCAAGCACCCGTGAACTTTTGGCGCAGACTCGAGAAGGTGATCTTGTCCAGGAAAACACTGCTCTCGAGCTTCTTCCTGGCCACACTGCTCGTATCTCCTCTCTATCCAAAAGAACATCTCCCTCACACCCTCCATGCTTCCACATTTCCTATACATCTCCACAAGTTTCAAGTTTCCAGAGTTTTGGAGGTTGATCTCATTCTTGGAACGCTGTGCTTGCAGCTCTCCAATTCACGAGAATGTTGCTCGACGGCATTGGACCTGACTGTGTGACGTTCTCTACGGTTGTGAGCTGGTGCAAGTCCAGCAGTAGATTTTTTTTATGTTTTCGTTATCCTCATTTCGTTTTCTCATCAGAGAATCCACCGTAAACATCGAACTGAAAAGACGTGTAACTCCCGACTTGCAAAGAAGTGTAACGTTTGAAAAAAGAATCAAAAAGAAGAGAGAGAGAGAAGCGTCATCTACGTTGTCTTTCGATTCGATCACGAGTGATCCAAGGCTGCCATAAAACTTGTCTATCTTCTTCCTTGAGATGAGTAAGAAAGAAACAAAAAGTGAAGTTAGCAGAAAAAAAAAAGAACAAACGACTTCTTCACACACAAGCTACAAGAAAATGCAGGCATGATCACATCTCGAACAGACAAATCCACAAAACCTCTTCACTATCATCTGGTTGAGCTTTGATGTTCTCGCGAACCGCTTCCTCAAAACTGTAGCAAAAAGAACTTCGTTTCCTCTTTTTTACCTGAGTGCTGCGCGCGAAAGGATTTCCTCAAAGAAAATTTTTACTAAAAGGATATCGGGCCTCCTTGGGCGCCCTGGGTACCAAGCGCTATCCGGTAGATCACGGTGGGGTTGACCATACCGACTTAGCACTACTGGGTCACCGACGAGGGGGGCCAAGTGGTCAAGGGTCAGCGACCCCATTTACTAAGCAACCCGAGTAACCATACCTGCCACTCCATTTCTTTTATACCGGTGTTCCTCTACTGCACCTTGGCTGGTGGGATAGGTTTTCAGCTTACATGGCACAATACCCGCATCTCCGGGATGACTAGGATTGTTGGTTGTCAACCTGGCATTATCCTATGGTAAGAGTTTAGTTCCAAGAGCTCGCAAGTAAAATATAAGTAGCACCATTGGATGAATCCTTACCCAGCAATTTTCCAGCCGACATTTCCACAACCTTTGCATTTCGATGGATTCTCGATGCTCCCAGAAGAATCATCCACAGGCCCGGCTGTGGAACAAATGGCATGAATTCCACCACTTCCATGGCTCGCTCCAGCTGACCGGCTCGCCCCATTGCGTCAACCAAGCAGTAGTAATGCTCGATCCTGGGAGAGATCCCAAAGTCTGCGATCATGGACAAAAAACCTCGGCAACACTGCTCGAGCTGGCTCGCTGCCGCTGCTAGAATTGTCGTGAAGATGATCTCGTCTGGCTTGAAAGCCAGCATGATCATCTCTCGAAAGAGATCCAGTGCCTCGCTCACGCGTCCGTTCTGGACATAGGCCGCAATGATCGAGCTCCATGTCGTGACCTCCTGCTGCTTTTCAAACCGCTCAAATGCTGTTCTCGAGGATTGAACGTAGCCATGCTGTGCGAGCGCCAAGATCACGGTGATGAGAGCTACTTGGTTGCGATCTGGCATTGTTTCGTAGATGTCCATGGCACTCGCAAGTTGGCCATCCTGTGCATAAGCTTGCATCATTACAGTGGATGTCACAGCGTTTATCTCTGGCATTTCGACGAAGATCTTCACTGCTTCCTCGGATAATCGGCAGCTGACCAATGAGGACAAGAGAGTGTTGTAAGACACCAGGTTGTGGCCAGGCATTTGCTCAAAGAAATCTTTGCAGTGGTGGACGTCGGGTGCGTAGCAAGCGAGCATGGTGTTCCAGGAGACCATGTCCAGGCACGGCAAAGAATCAAACACCGCTCGAGCTTTGTCGATCTTGGAGTGATTGGCGTATAAGACAATCATGTTGGTCCAGGCTGACAAGCAACTGGGATCGTCGAGTGTGGTTTCTCGCATGATCTGAAACAAACTCTCGCCATCTTGTACATGCCCAAACCGTGCAAATGCTTGAAGCATCACGCTCCAGGTGATTGAGCTTCGCTCTGGCATAATCGCAAACAGTCGTTTCGCCTCGTTAAGGCTACATGCGTCCGCGTAAGTTTTCAGCATAGTTGTCCAGGAAATCACGCTTCTACAAGGCATCGAATCAAACAGTGCCTTTGCTCCTTCCAAATCTCCCATTCTGGAATAACCCTGCAAGACAGCATTCCAAGAAATCTCGTTGCGCTCCGGCATGGCAACCGAAAACACCGATTCCAGGGCCTCTTCCAGCCCCAACTGAAGAAACACAAGCAAGATGGAGTTCCACGAGACAACATTGCGAGCGGGCATTCCGTCAAAAAACTCTTTTGCCAAAGACAAATCCCCAGCCTGAGCAAATGCCGAGATTATAGCGTTCCAAGCAGCTAATGTTCTTGCGCCTACGCTCTGGAACACGGCCATAGCCTTGCCTGTGTTGCCACTGAGAGCATAGGAAGAGATCATAGTGGTCCACGTGTACTCATCGTGAACGGGCATGATTTGAAAGAGCTCCTCGGCTTCACTATAATGCCCGGTCTGGGCATATGCGCAAATCATGGAGTTCCACGACACCACGTTCCTCACGGGCATACTCTCGAACATACACTGTGCGAGATCCACAAGGCCGTGCTCGGCGTAGGCATTCATCATAGCCGTCCACGCTACCACGTCCTTGGACGGCATCCTGTCAAAGACCCAGCGAGCGTCGTCCAGATGCCCCCTGTGGGCATATGCCTGGAGGAGGATATTCCAGGAGAAGGAATTGGGATCTTTGATCCCGGCGAAGACGGAGAGGGCACGCTCGAGGCTGCCGCAGCGTGCGTACATCTGGACGAGGAGATTGGCGAGGTAGCGATCGTCGCGGCATTGCGCGCAGCTCTGGATCGAGGCGTGGAGCAGCGCGCCGCGATCGAGGGTCTTGACATTGGCAATCCTGCGAGCAAAATCTTCTACTTGCTGCTCGTTTGCGCGAGAAGGAAGAGAGGAGGAATGGATCATCCATCCAAACTTGCCAATTCCCTCACATTTGAATTTAGGGCTCCTCTGTGCTATGGTTTGGAGCTGTTCTTCCGTCCTCGGCCACGCGAATGTTGGCTCTGGGAAAAGACGCTAGAGCAGCAGCTGGAATTCTCATGTTTGCGTCCGGGGATTGGTCTCCAGTGCTGAGATTAAGCTTCTCAGGAGCAGACTCAGACGAATTCGTCCAGAGAAGAAGCTCTTCGGTGGAGATGGAACATTTGCAAGAAACCAAGTTCGTCATTCCCCTGGAACAACAAAAGAGAAAAGATGATCTATCCAAAAAACATATACCTTGGATTGGATCAACGCTCTGGCCTGCTTGACGCCTTGGTGCTACGCAAATCGATGCCCCGGCACAGCACAGAGACGCGGTGCTTGTAAGCCTCGAACATTTCTTCCTCCTCTGCAGAGCTTCTCGGATCAAACAGAGTCGATCGATAAGCTTTTCGTTTTCCTGGATGAAGATTTAAATGTTCAAAACGTTAATCCTGAAAGAATGGCGCTTGTATCCCTAAATGGGGTCGCTGACCCTTGACCACTTCCCCTCTGGGTCGTCAGTCAACGCCACCGACAATCTTCCGAGGCCTAACTGGATTTTGGTTTAAAGCGCTGTTATTTTTACAGACATCAAAATAGTATGGATCATTTCAGACCAAATGGTAGATGCGAGCTCCAATCTCATTTGCATCTTATTCTATTCTATCTTATTTGCATCACATTGTTTCTGCCACGATAGCAATAAGGAAACAAAAACTTTCGTTTATTGTTTTCAGGTACTTTGTGCTTGATGCGTGATTCATCAGGTCCAGTGCTCGTCTCCGGCCACTTTCGAAGACAAGGAGCGGTATTCTCTATAGTTTTCTTCTTCCTCCAACGTTCGCATTTCGTTTATAGCTGGTGGTTTCTGCAGCACAGGAAGAAAAGAAGCTGGAATCCAGGCAGTGACAAAAGCCAAAGTCTGAGAACTACGTTTGGTCCGCTCGTTTTGGCCTGAGGAACGACGAGAAAAGAGGATGGGAAGCAACTATCACAGAAACCATACAATATCAAACGAAGCCGTTGTTGTAAACTAGAGGAAGAAGCTTGTGGCGAACAACTTGTCCTTCTTTTACGTCCTTGAACCAGCCTCCAAAGCTTACCAAGTCTTCATCCTGGACTTTCCTCCTGCGTGAGCGTGATCATGAGATAAAAACAAACACCGCAAACAAAAACCAAAGACCTTGCGTGTTTTGTGCTCAGCAAGCGCGCTCCATCGCCAAAGTAGCTCACTGTCCATGCAAGACGAGAGGAGGAGCTACTAGCTGGTTGCTCGGGCGCAAAGTGCAAGGTCCAGCCATGGTGGACAGTCCTGGATTCACAAAGATACAAACTCATGGAACTCAAGAGAAAAAAAAACTACTTACGCGTCTCCAGCAGCGAGTTCTCTGTAAGTTTCGATCGAGTATCCCCTTCGCTCCAAGTTGTCCATCCCTCTGTTGGATTGCCAATACGGCAGAGCAAAGTCCGTGTGAGACGCGGACGCAAAGTGGAGCGTGGAGTCTGTTTGTGACAGTGAATGGAGTGGAATCCAAAACGTGAGAAAGGAGTTCGTGTCGAGCGGGACCATGTTGAGGTCCGAGTGCCAGTTTGTGACACTGAATCCTGGGAGCTTGATGAAGAGACAATCCTGGTACAAACGAACCTACGAATCCAGAGACGAAGTTCTTACGTTTGTTCTTAGAAGAAGGAAAACGAAAAGCTTATCGATCGACTCTGTTTGATCCGAGGAGCTCTGCTGCGGCCTGGCAGACTCGAGGGTGAAAGACGAATTCGTCCAGAGAAGAAGCTCTTCGGTGGAGATGGAACATTTGCAAGAAACCAAGCTCGTCATTCCCCTGGAACAACAAGAGAGAAAAGATGATCGAAAACTTCTAATCCAAAAAACTATAGAAACTTATATACCTTGGATTGGATCAACGCTCTGGCTTGCTTGACGCTTTGGACGCTACGCAAATCGATGCCCGGGCACAGCACCGAGACGCGGTGCTTGTAAGCCGCGAGCCTTTCTTCCTCCTTGCAGATTTGTGCCTGGATCCTCTGCCTGAGAAGCTTAACCTCAGCGCTGGAGAACAATCCCCGGATGCAAACATGCCCCTTCCTCGCGAATTCCAGCTGCTGCTCCAGCGACACGACCGTGCTTCTTTTTCCAGAGCCCACATTCGCGTGGCCGGGGAGGGAAGAACAGCTCCAAACCATAGCACACAGGAGCCCTAAATTCAAATGTGAGGGGCAAATTGGCAAGTTTGGATGGATGATCCATTCCTTTTCGCGCAAACGAGCAGCAAGTAGAAGAATTCCCTTGCAGGATTGCCAAAGTCAACACCCTCGATCGTGGCGCGCTGCTCCACGCCTCGATCCAGAGCTGCGCGCAATGCCGCGACGATCGCACCTCGCCAATCTCCTCGTTCAGATGTATGCGCGCTGTGGCAACCTCGAGCACGCTCTCTCCTTCTTCGCTGGGGTCTACGATCCCAATTCCTTCTCCTGGAATATCCTCCTTTAGGCATATACCCAGAGAGGGCATCTGGACGACGCTCGCCGGGTCTTTCAGAAGATGCCGTCCAAGGACGTGGCAGTGTGGACGGTTATGATGAATGCCTACGCTGAGAAGGGCGTTATGGATCTCGCGCAATGTATGTCCTAGAATAGGCCCCTGAGGAACGTGGTGTTGTGGAGCTTTATGATTTGTGCATATGCCCAGACCGGGCATTACAGTAAAGCTATGGAGCTCTTTCAAATCATTCACGCTCACGACGAGTACACGTGGACATCTATGATCTCTCGCTACGCTTAGGCTACGGCTGTGTTCCAGAGCGTCGGTGCAAGAACGGCTAGCTGCCTAGAACGCTATAATTTCGGCATTTGCCCATGCTGGGGATTTCTCCATGGCGAAAGGTCCCTTTAACGCAATGCCCGCTCGCAATATTGTGTCTTGGAAGAAGCGTGATTTCCCAGACAACTTTGCTGAAAACTTACGCGGACGCATGTAACCTTAACGAGGCGAAGCGACTGTTTGCGATTATGCCAGAGCGAAGCTCAATTACTTGGAGCGTGATGCTTCAAGCATTTGCACGGTTTGGGCATGTACAAGATGGCGAGAGTTTGTTTCAGATCATGCGAGAAACCACACTCGACGATCCCCGTTTCTCGTCAGCCTGGACCAACATGATTGTCTTACACACCGTTCACTGCCAGAGATAAACGCTGTGGCCTCCTGGAACACCGTGCTCGTTTGATACGCACCCGACGTCCACCACTGCAAAGATTTCTTTGAGAAAATGCCCGGCCACAACCTGGTGTCTTACAACACTCTCTTGTCCTCACTGGTCAGCTGCCGATTATCCGAGGAAGCAGTGAAAATCTTCGTCGAAATGCCAGAGATAAACGCTGTGACATCCACTGTGATGATGCAAGTTTATGCACAGGAAGGCCAGGGACAACTACGAGACAATGCCGGTGGCGCTCATCACCGTGATCTTGGCGCTCACACGGCCCAATCCCCGAGAACAACCTTTGGGCGATCTGAAAAGAAGCAGGAGGCCTGGAGCTCGATCATTGCGGCCTATGTCCCTAACGGACGCGTGAGCGAGGCACTGGATCTCTTTCGAGAGATGATCTTGCTGGCTTTCAAGCCAGACGAGACCATCTTCACGACAATTCTAGCAGCAGCAGCGAGCCAGCTCGAGCAGTGTTGCTGAGATTTTTTGGCAGACTTTGGGCTCTCCCAAGATCGAGCATTACTACTGCTTGGTTGACGCTGGAGCGAGCTGGTCAGCTGGAGCAATCCATGCCATTTGTTCCACAGCTGGGCTTGTGGACGATTCTTCTGGGTCGAAATGCAAAGGTTGTGGAAATGTCGGCTGGAAAATTGCTGGGTAAGGAGCCATCGGGATATGACAGCCAACCATCCTAGTCATCCCCGGAGATGCGGGTGTTGTGCCATGTCAGCTGAAAACCTATCCCACCAGCCAAGGCGCAGCATAGGAACACCAGTATAAAAGAAATGGAGTTGCAAGAAGGGTTAATCCGGGAGAGCCTGAAAGGGCGCTTGCATTTAGTAAATGGGGTCGCTGACCCTTGACCACTTGGCCGACCCAGTAGTGCTAAGTCGGTATGGTCAACCCCACCGTGACCTACCGGATAGCGCTTGGTACCCAGGGCGCCCAAGAAGGCCCGATATCTTTTGCAAACATTTCTGTGATCTTCCCTTCTAGAATTTCTTGGTGCACCAGGCCTTGAAGTCATATGAGAGGAAACGAATGTTTAGATTCAGACGGTTCTCAATTTCGCGATCTCAACCTAATGCTGAAGAGGTCATGGTTGCGTTTTCTTGTAGCTTGTGTGTGTGTTATTCAGTGGAGCTTAGAAGATGGATGAGCTTTATATCATGTATCACTTGTTCTGTAGATGACGCTTCGCTCTCTTTCTTTTTCCCAATGATGGAAGGATGGCTCTTTCAGGGGCCTGAGAAAGGATAGACAATTGCGCTCCAAACATCTAGTGGATAGTAGCTTATGGATAAATAAACATAAACCGTTTTTTTCAAAAATAAAGGTGGCTAAAAAAGTATAAACTAAGATATCTTTTCTCATGAACATTTATTGTTTTATTGACGAGCATTTCTTTCCTTTTTCTTCTTATTTAGAGGGAAGAAAGTGGCAACAGACAGTGTGGCACACAGTATCATACTATTCATAAAATGGGCTTCCATATGTTTGTATTTTGAAAAAAACTCTCTCTTGCTACCTTGCATGCATACATGGTGAATCCATTTATTGGCCTACACGGGTTTTCATCTGCTACAAGTATTAGATGGTATATTCCACTAACCCTTGGGCAGCCAAGAATCCAATAGTGAGTTCATATTATGGCTATACCCATCTACCATCATATCCTCCATATACATAATTGATATAATTGTTGTCCATTCAAGAAATTTGGGTTTAGGGTTGGGTTTTAATAAAGATGGGGTGAACTGCAATAGTTTTGATTCTTGCCAAAACAGTAATTGTGCTTTATTTTTCATTTGGCAATTCCAGATGGGAAACTTTAGATATACAAAATATAAAATAATTACGAAAGTGTGAAAATGATTACTTAAGGGATACCACATTATTCTAATAGTGAAAAATTCCTATCCTCTTTTCTAAAAACCTTTTTTGGAGAGCTTTCTATTACTTTAACTTGTAACAAATAAATTTCTTATTCAGGCAAAAGAGGAGAAGTATAATGCATACTTCATAATGGATGAAGATTTAAATGTCTATAAGCAAGTTATTTCTTTTTTGTAGATTTAAAGTTTGCCATTTGAAAATATTGAATTAACAATTTTTACTCAAACTTTTAATAAAGCATAAGTATAACTTCAGCAAGGATCAACTATTATAGTGCTACAACAATTAAATACCACTTCAAATATCTCTCTTGGACTACCCTCCTTCACCACTTGGACTGAAAGGCATTCTAGCTAATCTAATTTTATGAAGAATCTAAACTAGCAAATGAAACAAAGTGCCATGAATCTCATCTTACTCTTACAAAAAGTTTATCAAGACTCCTAATAAGATCAGGACTAGAAAATGCAAAAGACAAGAGAAAAGCTAGTGGAGACAAAGAAAATGCTTTAGATTAGTGTTGATTTAGATTGTGGTGAAATGGAACAAGGCTAGCCTATATATATTATAGGTTGATGAAGCTCCACCACTCTTGGATCGATGACGGCCTAAATATAATTGAGGTCAAGGAGGTGTCACATCATCATCAGGAATGTAGTTTGAGAATCAAAAATTGTATGGGAAATTAAAAAATCAGGAATAAGAAAGTGTCTCAAGAGTCAGAAATGTGGTTTGTAGCTCAGGAATCCAACGAGAGAATGTGGCAAGAATTGAGAGATTCCTGATAGTTCTTTTATGATACATTATCATTATTTGTATCCATCTAAACTGCCCATAAAAATAAAAGATTTCTCATGTTTATCACTCTTAGGAATATCTAGTAAATTTCCTTGTCACCATCCTTAACTTTATTACCATTAAGCTGGATTCTCAAGCATATTCCCACATAGTGCTCAATGGAATATACTAGGGAATCTGGTACTTCCAACAATCTGCTGCATGAACTCCATGTGTTCGATTTTATGAATAGCATGCCATAATTTCACACACAGCTAGTACCTAAAGATCTCATATCAGACTCTTGTCTTTCATTGGAAACTTCAGTTTTTTTTTACTCTAAAGCTCAAATCAACTTGTTTGTAGATTAAGCAAGGACCTAGTCAAGAGCAATATTTTCTTCCAAATAACACCCTCAAAACTTGAGACTTTGAGAGTATGTCCATGCAAGTTAAGGGCACGTATCAGAGTAGAGCAATCCACTATTTTTCTCGACTCTGGTTTAGAATCCCACAGCTCAACATCCAGATTATTTAGATCATTTGTGGAGAGTCTTGTGTCTCTAGCCATATCTAGTAAAATACAAGGAAACGTATTACCTTCTCCATAGTTTTTCTTTCTCTATGAAGATTCAACATTCTCCTTTTGGTTTCAGCTGGTGGTTTCCATAGCCCTCATCTGAAAAAAGCTGAATACATGTAATAAGTGCCACATTTGAGGCCCTTTGATTAGAACTACATTGTGTTCACTCGTGGAAAACTAATGGAACTCAAAAGAAAACTCATGGAACTGAAGAGCAAAAATGCTTACGCATCTCCAGCAGCGACTTCTCTGTAAGTTTCGATCAAGTATCCCCTTATCTCCAAGTTGTCCATCCCTCGGTTTAATTGCCAATACAGCAGAGCAAGGTCTATGTGAGATGCAGATGCAAAGTGGAGGAGTGGAATCCAAAACGTGAGGAAGGAATTGATGTCGAGCAGGACCATGTTGAGATCAGAGTGCAGTTCGTGACACTGAATCCTGGGAGCTTGATGAAGAGATAATCCTTGTACAAGTGAACCTCCGAATCCAGAGACGAAGTTCTTACGTTTGTAATTAGAAGAAGGAAAATGAAAAGCTTATTGATCGACTCTGTTTGATCTGAGGAGCTCCAATGCGGCCTGGCAGACTCAAGGGTGGAAGATGAATTCGTCCAGAGAAGAAGCAACCGGACTCTAGTGAGATATAAGGGTGGAAATTAAGAGATGTTTAATAAAACTCCCTTTTTTCAAAACTTTAAACACACATTTTCATCCCTTAAGCTTGTAAAAAAGGAAATATTTTAGGTTTTCATTTGTCCTTTTCAGTAGAGAAGCCAATAGTGATGCCAAACAAGAGCAACAAGGTGTACAAGAAGCTTTATCTTCTCCAAAACTACCCACTGTTTTGGTCTTCATCCTCCCAACAAAGTGGCCTCCAGTTTGAAAGCATGGATGAGTTGAAGATGTACTTGAAACAATAGCACCTAACCTGTATGAAATGCAATCATGATGAGTGCAGCAACTTTTACTACTTTAACAATAATAACATCAGCTAGCCAAGGTATCACTGCAATCTGTGCAAGAAAAAATTCACTTATGGTGGAAAAACAAGACCAACCTACATGAAACGGCCAAGGTCAAGCAACACTTAGGAAGTCGATAGGGCACATGAGAACAAGAAGCTCAAGTGCACTCCAGTTGAATATGAGACAAGGAAGGGTTCACTAGTCGAAGCGAAGCAAAGTGGTCAACAGGCCAATAAAGTTGGGTGGTGATTCGGGTGGAGGACATGGAAGATTTTGACATGGATGACCTGGAGGTGGCTAGAATCATGGCGCTGGTCGAGGAGAATGAAGTCCCAAGCGAGGAGGAACACATCCCTCTTGTGTTCCCTGAGGTGGTGGAAATTGTAGTGAGTGACGAATGCCGAACTTGGTTTCTTGCAAATGTTCCATCTCCACCAAAGAGCTTCTTCTCTGGACGAATTCGTCTGAGTCTGCTCCTGAGAAGCTTAATCTCAGCACTGGAGACCAATCCCCGGATGCAAACATGCGAATTGCATTAATCGCAGCTGCTGCTCCAGCGTCTTTTCCCAGAGCCAACATTCGCGTGGCCGAGGAGGGAAGAACAGCTCCAAACCATAGCACACAGGAGCCCTAAATTCAAATGTGAGGGAATTGGCAAGTTTGGATGGATGATCCATTCCTCCTCTCTTCCTTCTCGCGCAAACGAGCAGCAAGTAGAAGATTTTGCTCGCAGGATTGCCAATGTCAAGACCCTCGATCGCGGCGCGCTGCTCCACGCCTCGATCCAGAGCTGCGCGCAATGCCGCGACGATCGCTACCTCGCCAATCTCCTCGTCCAGATGTACGCACGCTGCGGCAGCCTCGAGCGTGCCCTCTCCGTCTTTGCCGGGATCAAAGATCCCAATTCCTTCTCCTGGAATATCCTCCTCCAGGCATATGCCCAGAGGGGGCATCTGGATGACGCTCGCCGGGTCTTTGACAGAATGCCGTCTAAGGACGTGGCAGCGTGGACGGCTATGGTGAATGCGTACGCTGAGAACGGCGTTATGGATCTCGCGCAATGTATGCCCTAGAATAGGCCTGTGAGGAACATGGTGTTGTGGAACTTTAGGATTTTTGCATATGCCCAGACTGGGCATTACAGTAAAGCTATGGAGCTCTTTCAAATTATGCACGCTCACGACGAGTACGTGGACAGCTATGATCCCTCGCTACGCTTAAGCTGTGGCTGTGTTCCAGAGCGTCGGTGCAAGAACGTTAGCTGTCGGCATTTGCCCAGGCTGGGGATGTCTCCCTGGCGAAAGATCCCTTTAACGCAATGCCTGCTCGCAATATTGTGTCGTGGAAGAAGCGTGAGTACCTAGACAACTATGCTGAAAACTTACGCGGACGCATGTAACCTTAACGAGGCGAAGCGACTGTTTGCGATTATGCCAGAGCGAAGCTCAATTACCTGGAGCGTGATACTTCAAGCATTTGCACAGTTTGGGCATGTACAAGATGGCGAGAGTTTGTTTCAGATCATGCGAGAAACCACACTCGACGATCCCAGTTTCTCGTCAGCCTGGACCAACATGATTGTCTTATACGCCGTTCACTCCAAGACCGACAAAGCTCGAGCAGTGTTTGATGCTTTGGCGTGCCTGGACATGGCCTCCTGGAACACCGTGCCCGCTTGATACGCACCCGACGTCCATCACTGCAAAGATTTCTTTGAGCAAATGCCCGGCCACAACCTGGTGTCTTACAACACTCTCTTGTCCTCACTGGTCAGCTGCCGATTATCCGAGGAAGCAGTGAAAATCTTCGTCGAAATGCCAGAGATAAACGCTGTGACATCCACTGTGATGATGCAAGTTTATGCACAGGAAGGCCAAGGACAACTACGACACAATGCCGGTGGGGCTCATCACCGTGATCTTGGCGCTCGCACAGAGAACAACCTTTGGGCGATTTGAAAAGAAGCAGGAGGTCTGGAGCTCGATCATTGCGGCCTATGTCTTTAACGGACGCATGAGCGAGGCACTGGATCTCTTTCGAGAGATGATCTTGCTGGCTTTCAAGCCTGACGAGACCATCTTCACGACAATTCTAGCAGCAGCAGCGAGCCAGCTCGAGCAGTGTTGCTGAGATTTTTTGGCAGACTTTGGGATCTCTCCCAAGATCGAGCATTACTACTGCTTTGGTTGACGCTGGAGTGAGCTGGTCAGCTGGAGCAATCCATGCCATTTGTTCCACAGCTGGGCTTGTGGACGATTCTTCTGGGTCGAAATGCAAAGGTTGTGGAAATGTCGGCTCGAAAATTGCTGGGTAAGGAGTCATCGGGATAATGCCAGCTTGACAGCCAACCATCCTAGTCATCCCCGGAGATGCGGGTGTTGTGCCATGTAAGCTGAAAACCTATCCCACCAGCCAAGGCGCAGTAGAGAAACACCAGTATAAAAGAAATGGAGTTGCAAGAATGGTTAATCCGGGAGAGCCTGAAAGGGCGCTTGCATCCCTCGGGTTGCTTAGTAAATGGGGTCGCTGACCCTTGACCACTTGGCCCCCCTCGTCGGTGACCCAGTAGTGCTAAGTCGGTATGGTCAACCCCACCGTGACCTACCGGATAGCGCTTGGTACCCAGGGCGCCCAAGGAGGCCCGATATCTTTTGCAAACATTTCTGTGATCTTCCTTTCTGGAATTTCTTGGTGCGCCAGGCCTTGAAAGTCATATGAGAGGAAACGAATGTTTGGATTCAGACGGTTCTCTATTTCGCGATCTCAACCTAATGCTGCAGAGGTCACGCTTGCGTTTTCTTGTAGCTTGTGTGTGTGAAGGAAAATTCTTTGTTTTTCTTTGTTCTTGAAGGCTTATTCAGTGGAGCTTAGAAGATGGATGAGTTTTATATCATGTAACTCGTTCTGTAGATGACGCTTCGCTCTCTGTCTTTTTCCCAATGATGGAAGGTTGGCTCTTTCAGGGGCCTGAGAAAGGATAGACACTTGTGCTCCAAACATCTAGTGGATAGTAGCTTATGGATAAATAAACATAAACCGTTTTTTTTTCAAAAAATAAAGGTGGCTAAAAAACTAAGATATCTTTTGTCATGAACATTTATTGTGGAGCATTTCTTTCCTTTTTCTTCTTATTTAGAGGGAAGAAAGTGGCAGCAGACAGTGTGGCACACGGTGTCATACTATTCTGTATTTTGAAAAAAACTCTCTCTTGCTACCCTTGCATGCATGCATGGTGAATCCATTTATTGGCCTACACTAATTTTCATCCACTACAAATAGTATATTCCACTAAACCTTGGGCAGCCAAGATTCCAATTGTGAGTTTATATTATAGCTATACCCATCTATCATCATATCCTTCATATACATAATTGATATAGTTGTTGTCCATTCAAAAAAATTGGGTCTAGGGTTGGGGTTTTGACAAAGATGGGGTGAACTACAATAGTTTTTATTCTTGCCAAAACAGTAACTATGCTTTATCTTTCATTTGGCAATTCCAGATGGGAAACTTTAGATTTACAAAATATAAAACAATTACAGAAGTGTGAAAATGATTACTTAGGGGATACCACATTATTCTAATAGTGAAAAATTCCTATCCTCTTTTCTAAAGACCTTTTTTGGAGAGCCTTCTATTCCTTTGACTTGTAACAAATAAATTTCTTATTCAGGCAAAAGAGAAAAAGTATAATGCATACTTCATAGTGGATGAAGATTTGAATGTCCATAGGCAAGTTATTTCTTTTTTGTAGATTTAAAGTTTGCCATTTGAAAATATTGAATTAACGGTTTTTACTCAGACTTTTAATAAAGCACAATTACAACTTCAGCAAGGATCAACTGTTATGGTGCTACAACAATTAAATACCACTTCAAATACCTCTATTGGACTACCCTCTTTCGCCACTTTGACTAGCAGTGCATTGAAAAGTATTCTAGCTAATCTAATTTTAAGAAGAATCTAAACTAGCAAATAAAACAGATTATTCACGAATCTTACCTTGCTCTTACAAAAAGCCCACATCTTGTTCTTTTATGATACCTTGTCACTATTTATATGCATCTAAACTACCCGTAACAATAGAAGATTTCTCATGTTTATCACTCTTAGGAATATCTAGTAAAATTCCTTGTCACCATCCTTAACTCTATTACCGGTACTTCCAACAATCTGCTACGTGAACTACATGTGTTCATAGAGATATATGGATTTTATGAATAGCATGCCATAATTTCACACACAGCTAGTACCTAAAGATCTCATATCAGACTCTTGTCTTTCACTGGAAACTTCAGTTTTTTCTTACTCTAAAGCTCAAATCAACTTGTTTGTAGATTAAGGACATAGTCAAGAACAATATTTTCTTCCAAATAACACCCTCAAAGCTTGAGACTTTGAGAGTATGTCCATGCAAGTTAAGGGACGTATCAGAGTAGAGCAATCCACTATCGCAATGGATTTTCTCAACTCTGGTTTAGAATCCCACAGCTCAACATCCAGACTATTTAGATCATTTGTAAGTTAGTGATCATACTTTAGCAACAATTATACTTCTGTCAAAGTGAATGACTGACAACTCTTTTTGGTACTATGGTTATAGATGGAGAGTCCTGTGTCTCTAGCCATATCTAGTAAAATACAAGTAAACGTATTACCTTCTCCATAGTTTTTCTTTCTCTATGAAGATTCAACATTCTCATTTTGGTTTCAGCTGGTGGTTTCCATAGCCCTCATCTGAAAAAAAGCTGAATACATGTAACAAGTGCCACATTTGAGGCCCTTTGATTAGAACTACATTGTGTTCACTCGTTTTTGCCTAAAGAACAAAGAGAAAAGAGGATGAGATAAAACCATCACAAAGACAATACCATATTAAACAAAGCCATTGTTGTAAAGCAGAGGAAGGCACTTGTGTTGAACAACTTGGCCTACTTTTAAGTCCTTCTACCAGCCTACAAATCTTACGAGGTCTTCATTCTGAACTTTCCTCCTCTGTGATCGTGATCTTGAGATAAAAAGAATGCTGAGCATGTGCACTCCATCGCCAAAGTAATCCTGGATTCACAGAGATATAGTTTAACTCATGGAAAACTAATGGAACTCAAAAGAAAACTCATGGAACTCAAGAGCAAAAATGCTTATGCATCTCCAGCAGCGAGTTCTCTGTAAGTTTCAATCAAGTATCCCCTTATCTCCAAGTTGTCCATCCCTCGGTTTAATTGCCAATACAGCAGAGCAAGGTCTGTGTGAGATGCGGATGCAAAGTGGAGTAGTGAATGGAGTGGAATCCAAAACGTGAGGAAGGAATTGATGTCGAGCAGGACCATATTGAGATCAGAGTGCAGTTTGTGACACTGAATCCTGGGAGCTTGATGAAGAGATAATCCTGGTACAAGCGAACCTCCAAATCCAGAGACGAAGTTCTTACGTTTGTAATTAGAAGAAGGAAAACGAAAAGCTTATCGATCGACTCTGTTTGATCCGAGGAGCTCCAATGCGGCCTGGCAGACTCGAGGGTGGAAGACAGAGAAGAAGCAACCGGACTCTAGTGAGATATAAGGGTGGAAATTAAAACATGTTTAATAAAACTCCCTTTTCTCAAAACTTTAAACACAGATTTCATCCTTTAAGCTTGTAAAAAAGGCAATATTTTAGGTTTTCACTTGTCCTTTCAGCAGTAGTGATGCCAAACAAGAGTAGCAAAGTGTACAAAGAGCTCCATCTTCTCCAGAACTACCCACTATTTTGGTCTTCATCCGTGGCCTCCAGTTTGGAAGCATGAATGAATTGAAGATGTACCTAAAACAGTAGCACCCAACCTATATGAAATGCAATCACAGTGAGTGAAGCAACTTTGACTACTTCAACAATGATAACATTGGCCAGCCAAGGTATCGCTGCAATCTGTGCACGAAAAAATTCACTTATGGTGGAAAAACAAAACCAACCTACATGAAGCAGCCAAGGTCAAGCAGCACTCAAGAAGTCGACATGGCACATGAGAACAAGAAACTCAAGTGCACTCCAGTTGAAGACGAGATGAGGAAGGGTTTGCTGGTGGACAAAAGTCAAGTGAAGCAGAGTGGTCAACAGGCCGATAAAGCTGGGGCGGTGATCCGGGCGGAGGACATGGAAGATTTTGACATGGATGACCTGGAGGTGGCTAGAATCATGGCACTGGTCGAGGAGAATGATGTCCCAAGCAAGGAGGAACACATCCCTCTTGTGTTCCCTGAGGTGGCGGAAATTGAAGTGAGTGACAAAGAGATGACTGAAATTTTGTCATAAAATCTTGAGGACGTGGATGATGAGGAGATGCTAGATCTTGCGTTTGAGGAGGTTTTTGAGCAGCCAGAACATGAGGGCTTGGTGGAAATTCAAATTGGCAATGGGGAAACGAGCCAAATCCTCCAAAAGAATGTGGACAATGAAGATCTTGTGCTTGAGGGGGATTCTCAGGAGGAGCAGGCAAAGGCAATGGAGGGGGACATTGATTTTGCTCTTGAGCTTGAACAAGATCTCGAGCCCGAAGAAGATAAGCGAAAAGAGGAATCCATGATACTCTAGAAAATGGAATTGGAGAAAGCTAAATGTAGTGGTATTTTTAATTTCAAATCAAATCTGCAAGGTAATATTTTTTGTTGATTGAATCAATAATTAAATCAATACAATCAGGATAGAAAAAAGAAAACAAATACTTCCATGTTTAATAACATTAGATCGAAATACCACTTTTTTGAATTAAAGATGATGTTCACAACAAGAATTTTCCACTGTCCTGAAATCAGGAAGTAGTCTTATTGGCTTGGGCATGTATCAAAACCTTGCTTCCAGATCTAAGATGTGACTTTTTATTTGAAAGAAGTCCAATCTACTCATGCATACAATACTTTAATACTTTGTTTATGTTTCCGTTTTCACTGTGCTGGACAGCGGCAAGATTGGGTCCTTGGCCTTCTTTTCCGCAAGCCTCCAAACGCATTGGAGCCATGGTTACCATTTTCTTTTGATGGTACGAACTGCAAGTGAAGTATCTGGAGGTAGCGTTTTACTCCCGTGAGTCCCAAAATATCCACGGACACAAAGTACCGCCTCTAAATGCTCTGTCTAGCAAAGTAAAAACCAGTTGACGTTTTGACAAAACAAAACCAAGCATACCTTCTCAGAACACAACGCGACATATGGTAAAACCAGCATTGCCATTTTCCCTGTCGCCAGCACTCTTTTTAACATCAAAATTCTCCAACAAGACTCGTTCCTGCACTGTCAAAAGTTTTACGGATTACCATAAAAGAAAACTAATCTCAAGCACCTTGTCGAAAGTAGGCACTAAAATCACAAACAGTTAGATTACCTGCCATTGATACAGTCTTCTAACCCCTTTCCGAAAGTATCCTTCACATAATTCAGCCGGAAGCCAATTGGACAACTTCTCACCGGAGACTGAGGACGACAGATCGTTCACGATTGCCTTTCCTTCGTCAATGGGAGCTGCAGCAGCTTCTTTGCCAACGTTGTCATGACTCGCAAAGTCGAAGGTAGCAGAGAGTTCAATAAACTCGGGCCGTCAACGACTTCACTTTCGAGCAGTCACCTTTCTTGCTCCCAAGGACGTGTATTGCCTCGTCCCAGAAGCTATCTCCTGGTGATACATACTCGTCGAGTAGCCACTTCGGAGTGGGATCACCATTTCCAGCGCTTGCATGAGGAGTGCATGGTAGCTTCTTCGCACTGTGCTGAAAGGGCGGTAATTGTCTGTCAGCCACTTTAACCATTTCAGCCACTCGTTCCACTTCGTTGCACTGAGAGAAATCGCCATCTCGTTTCTCAAAGCTTTGCTTTGAAGAGACGTCCATCTTCTCGGCAGAAATGGTTGAAGTGGCTGACAGACAATTACCACCCTTTCAGCACAGTGCGAAAAAGCTACCATGCACTCCACTGGAAATGGTGATCCCACTCCGAAGTGGCTACTCGACGAGTATGTATCACCAGGAGATAGCTTCTGGGACGAGGCAATACACGTCCTTGGGAGCAAGAAAGGTGACTGCTCGGAAGTGAAGTCACTGACGGCCCGAGTTTATTGAACTCTCCGCTACCTTCGACTTTGCGAGTCATGACAAATGAAGAAAACGAGAAGAAATCCTGGCGATCTGTCTCCAGTAAGTGACGATGATCTCTTTTCTTTCATTCCTCTAGAGATGTTTTGCAAGAGATTGCATGTCCTCTAAGAGATCCAAGGCCACCTGGCCTTCACCGTTTTCAGCGTAGCCCAGCACCAGCGCCGTCCAGGACACGACATCGTGCAGTGGCATCTTGTCAAAAACTCTGCGAGCGTCTGCCGAGCTCCCACATTTGACGTAGAAATCCACCAGCGTGTTTGCAACGAAATACTCCAACTCGACACCACCTTTAGCAGCTTGCCAGACTTTCACTGCAGCAACGTAGCTCCGAGCGTTTGGCTGAGAACCCCGAGCTTTCATCTCCTGGAATAACTCTAGAGCTCTGGTTCACCATTGTCACCGTGTCCCACCATGACTGAATTCCAAGTACCCACGTCCCGCTGCTTTCTTTAATGTTCTCGGCACCGTGAAGCTGAAGCTGGATTCGTTGCCCATCAAGACATAAAGATCGAAACTAATAACACCAATGCCTAGGAGAGGGTACACATCTCCAAGATGATCAAAGCCAAGATTGAGAACCAGGTAGATCTACACACTCGATGCAAGTAAGTAGACAACACCAAACTACATAAGAAAACCTTTGCTTTGACAATGTGCGTCGGTGCGTTTTTGAGGCAGTCAGCAGCGATTCCTCCATAAGCTCGAACGAGTCCTCCAGTTCCAAGCCTCGTTCCACCAAAGTACCTGGATTTCCAATTAGCTTTTGTTCTTTCGTTTGGAAAAACGATGATAGGTACCTCGTGACAATGATCATAACTCCATCCACACCAGAATTTTCTCTGGCAGCATAGATTGGCCGTCCTGCCGTTCCTCCAGGCTCTCCACCATCGCTAAAACGATAGCGTTCTTTGATCTAAGCTGGAAGAAAATGAAACATTCCAGCAAGGAAAAGAAGAAGGCGAAATAAAAGAACCACCTTGTAAGCTCAGCAATTGTGAGATGCGGATCCAAGACCTTGCAAAAAAAAGAATGAGCTAAGATCGCGATTTTCTTCTTTCCAAAACTAGACCTCGGAGAGAAATGCCAATGCGCCTTGTTCATCGTCCACTGTCCAGAGCGGCCGTGGCGATGAACTTACTTCGTTTCATCTCGCACTGCGAAGAAACCCTGGACGAGATTGCTGTGTATGCCGATGCTGCGCCATCGCTCGAAGATTTCGCTCCTCCCTGGCGACTGAAATGCATATACATTGGCGCCAGCGCCGCCGTCCTTCCATCGATCTAGACGAGGAATCAAAGCACAAGCGCGAGTGCCTTTCGAAAATTGCGCTACTATAGAATCTCAGACACGGGGTGGTCCTACGTGGCAGAACTCTAGTCAGGATCTTCTAGCGCAGCTAGGGCGACGAGGAGATCTGCAATCGATCGCGTTTCCCTGGAATGCCGCTGCTTCACTCGAGATATTCGCTGCTAGTCCGAGCCGTGCTTCGCCACTGCCGAGCGCAATGCCGGATTGCGCTGCGATGCTGTGACGATTTCCACGCGAGGATCTTTGGACAGAGAAGTAGAATGAGATCTTTAGGTACTAGCTGTGTGTGAAATTCCATATATCTTCGTGCAGCAGATTGTTGCGAGTACCAGATTCCCTAGTATATTCAATTGAGCCCTATGTGGAGAAATCTTCTATTGTTATGGGCAGTTTAGGATGCATACAAATAATAACAAGGTATCATAAAAGAACAAAATGTAAGCTTTTTGTAAGAGCTTTTTTGAAGAACAAGATGAGATTCATGAACACTGTTTTATTTGCTAGTTTAGATTCTTCTTAAAATTAGATTAGCTAACCCTTCAATGTACTGCTAGTCAAAATGGTGGAGGGCAGCCCAAGAGAGGTACTTAATTGTTGTAAGAGTTGATCCTTCATGAAGCTATAATTAGTCTGAGTAAATGCGCTTCCGGTGACTAGGATGGTTGGTTGTCGACGTGGCAGTATATGATAAGCTCGATGCTCCCAGAAGACAGGAACAAATGGCATGGATTGAGGTCCATGAGTTTGTTTCTTTGTGGGTTCCATGAGTTAAATTATATCTTCGTGGATTCCAGGCTTGCGCTTTGCGCCAGAGCAACTGCCTAGTAGCTCGTCCCTTCGTCTTGCATGGACAGTGAGCTACTTTGGCGATGGAGCGCGCTTGCTCAGCACAAACACGCGAGGTTTTTGGTTTTTCTTTTCTGAGTTTCTCTTTTATCTCAAGATCTTGATCACGCAGGAGTAATGTTCAGGATGAAGACTTTGGTAAGCTTTGGAGGCTGGTACAAGGGCGTGAAAGATTGTTCGCCACAAGGGGTTGATGGTACCTTTCGAAGAGAACTACGCTTGTAAAGAGCATGGGAAGAAGCTATCACAGAAACCATCTTGTCACAGCCTAGATTCCAGCTTCTTTCGGACGAGGCCTTCCTGTGTTGCGGAAACCACCAGCTAGAAACGAATTGCGAACGTTGATACTTCACAGTGGAAGAAAACTTATGGAAAATACCTTTCCTTGTCTCGAGTAAATATGGCCAGAGACAAATGCTCGACCTGATGCGGCACAGGGACTCTCCATCTGCAATGAGAAACTGTGAACACACGAAGAAAGTAAATTTGCAGCACCGAGAAGAGGTGCCAGTCAGTTGCTTTGACAGAAGTGTGGAACCATAGCCTGACAGCACAAAATCAATAAACAAAAGTTTATGTTTTTGATGATCACAACTTACGAATGATCCATACTGAGTACTTTGATGTCTGTAAAAATCCCAGTTGGTCCGGATGTCCAGCCGTGGGGCCTTAAAGCCGACTCGAGAAAAATCCAGTCGGAAGCATAGGCCAGGATACAGCTGCTTACACGAAACAAAATACAAAAAAAGTCATGAAAATTACAATGGTGGCTTGTTTTTACCGGTGTAACGCTTGATCATCCGGAAGCGTTCCTTTGGCTCGAAACCATAACGCCAGTCTAGCAAACATCAAATTAAAATGAGTCGACTCTTATCTTATTCTCTACCTTGACTCGCATGGTTCCGGGTCCACTTCATCAAAGTCCTCGCAACGACGCAAATCCAGAGGGTGTTCTTTGGAAGAATTGTTCTTCAGGAGTTCCTTCTTTGATCTGTGAACAAATGGATTTAAGCTTTAGAGCAAGAAGAAACATACGTTTACAGTGAAAGGCGAGGGTCCGAGAGGTAGCGCTGCTGAGCAATTTCTTCGCGTTCCAGCTGTGCAAATAAAACTCTTTCTTAAGAGCGAAATATGCAAAGGTAAAAAATTAATACCTCCTCGGGTGGTGGCACACAAGGCACGGGAAGCTGGTGTTCAGCGCCACTCTCTCCCCTCTAAAAAAGATTAGAAGTAAAAAACAAAGGAGAGAAAAGAAACGTTCATCAGCAAAACAATTGATTTTCATATCGCACCCGAAATGATGCAGTCATTGTGAAGATAATTTGGTCGCTTTGGAATGCACTCACGGATCGATTTGCAAAGTTGTATCCATCCCGGATTCTTTGGACGCGATAGATTATTGGGACTGCAAGAAAATCATAGCGACAACGATGAAAAACTCGTTACAAGCAAGGTAAACTAATCTATATGACAGAAAACCCATCCAAACTTACTGCTTTTATCACCGGGAAATAGAAAATACGAGTGGAGGCTGTGTACCAGAAAGAAAGGATTTACGGACTTGCTCGCCGCAGCTAAAGCCTGCAACAGAAGAATTACAAGACGTAATATGGTTTCTCGTCATTCAAGTTTTGAGACTAAGCACAAACTTGCCCAACTAGTTGCCCTCCAAATATCTGCTTGAATTCTACAAGATTAGGATTAGAGAATCCACGGTAAACATCGATCTGAAAACGAAGAAAAAACCCAAAAAATAGGTGAAAGAAAAGCAAAATGGCGGACCTCCACTTTTTCGAGTTGTAGAAGTTTTTCTATGACACTCGTTCCACCGGGTGTCCAAATATGTTTGGTATGAATCAACGCAGCATCAGCAGAGTTGAGAACCAAGAAAACAACCTGGGGAAATAAATTGAAAGAATTAACACCCAGAAAATATAAGTAAAAAATGTTCCATGATTCACCTTGCCACTCGCTGTAGCACCTTGGAGCTCTTCTTGAGTTACTAGAAAGGAGATACCATAAGAAAATAATTCAAAGCTTACACACAAAACACTAACCAAAACCTCCTCGACTCAGGATTTTTACGCTTGAATTCCCTGTGCCAAGCGCAAGCTAAAAGTCGCGTTCAAGTTAAAGAGAGAAAGCAACATTTTTCTTCTTTCTTTCTCGTTACCTCTCCACTCCAAACAATGTAGACTCCGCGAGGAAGATTTGAAAGCTCTAATGGTACTGAAAAAAAAAGCTAGACACCAAGAAATAAAGGCAAAAAAAAAAAGTACTTACAACACTCTTTTGGTTGCACAGCAAGAGCTAATCTTTCAATTGCAGTGATTGGGAGCTGCTGGAAGCTTGGAATCGAGCCCAGAAATTCGAGAACTAAAAAAATGGATGAGAAGTGGTAGAGAAAAGCGTTTGTTACCTTGCGACAGAGTGACTCCCGTCCCATTGATCCGGAAGAGATCGCCCATTTAGGGTTTATGATCATTAGGGTTTATGGGCAACGAGCAAAAACGAAGCAAAAAAGAAGAAAATGGGGCTTCTGGTTATTTAGGGTTTATCGTTGGTCATGTCGCAACCAAGAATCCTCCTGTGTGGGGATGTTGTGGGACGATTGGATCAGCTCTTCAAGCGCGTCGCCGCTGTAAGATCCCCGCTCCATTGCTGCATTGTGTGCTGATCGCTGGCTCTCTTTGGCGATCGATTTCCAGGTAAACACGGCCAATGGGCCATTCGATGCGCTCTTTTGTGTGGGGCAGTTCTTTCCTCTGGACGAACACGGCGTGTCCCAAGTGAGGGAATACATCGATGGCGCCAAGGAAATTCCTCTCCCCACGTATTTCACGGGGAATTATGGAGAGGAGGCTTTGCAATTGCTGGCACCGGCAAAAGATCGCGGCCTCGTCTCAGAGCCGGTGGTCGTCTCCAAAAATCTATTTTGGCTTCGAGGAAGTGGTGTGGTATTCGTTCATGGTACGTGTTCTTTCTTTTTTCTCTTTTTGCTCTGTTTGCTAAGACGGACATTGTGTATGGAAGAACTTCGTATCGCGTTTCTAAGTGGAAAGTCCGATGCTTTAGCCTACGAAGATGCAAAGCTTGCAGCGGACGTGGGGGCATTTCATCAGGATGATGTCGATGCTTTGCGAGCTCTAGCGGACGATTCTCAAGTCATCGATTTGTTTCTCACATATCCTTGCTATGTTTCTCCTAATCTGTTTTCTTTCTCTGTGGTCGTTTGGTCTTAACGTTCACACTAATGACTGGCCTCAAGGAGTGCTATCTGGAAGCAAAGGGGAGATACCAAGCGAAAAAGTTTCTGGGAATCCAGTCATAGCAGAGCTAGCGGCAGAGCTCAGGCCTCGGTAAGACGTCTCACTAAAACTATAAACACTATTAAAGGGCCTGCATTTCTTTTCCTTTCAGGTACCACATTGCTGGATCAGAAGGCGTATTCTTTACACGGGAGCCTTATACCAACCAAGGTGTGCCTCACGTAACGCGATTTGTGGCTCTGGGAGTCGTGGGGAATGATAAGAAACAGGTATGGTTGTGCTTAAACCAGTGCTAATCTAAGGATTTCTTTTTTCATTCTAACTTGCAGAAATATCTACATGCTCTTTCTCCAACACCAGCTTCAAAGTTGTCAAGCGAAGAGCTTGCTGTTACTCCTCCAAACAGCACTCTTTCTCCGTATGAGAATCGTCCCTCGAGTAAAAAGCGTCCCTTGTCCGAGATGATACCGTCGTCGCAGTCCGAGGGACAATTCTGGCGTTACGACACGTCCGATGCGAAGAAGACCAAGCGAGTGGAGGGAGCATGCTTCGATTTTGTCACCAAGGGCTCGTGTGCTCGTGGGGACAGATGCAAGTTTAAGCACGCGTTTGAAAACGGTGTGCTTATTCCAAAACGATCCTGCTACGATTTTATCACAAAAGGAAGCTGCGAGCGGGGCTCGGAGTGCCGATATCTACATTCATCAGATGAGAATGCAAGCTCTACGGCAGCAGACAACGAACAACAGCTTCCACCAGGTTCTTGTTTCAACTTTTTCAAGAAAGGAAGCTGTGAGAAGGGAGATGACTGCAGGTAATGGCTCTGTTCTATCTCTTTTGCTTTTTTCTAACATATAAGTTCTGAACAGATTTAGCCATTCTTCGGAAAGAAAGCAACAAGAATGCTGGTTTTGTTTGGCGAGCCCAAACGTCGAGACACATCTGGTTGCGAGCGTTGGAGATCATTGCTACGTTGCGCTTGCGAAAGGGCCTCTGATGGACAAGCACATGCTGATAGTTCCCATTGAACACACGCCGTCCGCCGTGTGTGTGTCACGAGAGGTTGAGAAGGAGCTCGAGATGTACAAAGACTCGCTCCGCAAGTTTTTTGAGAGCCAGGGATCGTCCATTATCATATTCGAGAGATACATCAACATAAGAGCAGGAACTCACGCGCATGTACAGGTACTATGGTCGCTCTTTATTTTACGCTCCTTTAACAGTGTGTTTTTCTTTTCTTTTCTTTTTTATCTTCCAGGTAGTTCCTGTTTCATCGTCAGCAGCAGAATCCTGCCGTGAAGCATTTGATGCAGCTGCAAGCGAGCTAGGATTCTCGTTCATCATAATGCGTAGTAAGGATCTCGATCTTCCCCTTTGTTCGTATGCATTAAATTCTTGTTTCTTTACAGGAAGCCAGTCCAATGACTTGAGACGTTTGCTGGACAGAGTAAACTACTTCGTTGTTGAGCTTCCCGATGGAACGACATTGGCTCATCCCTGTGCTGCCGGAGAGAAAATGCCAATGCAGTTTGGACGTGAGGTAAAGCTGAATTTATCCACGCATCTCTTTGCTTCTAGACTACAATTCTCTTCTCAGGTGCTAGCAGGCCTTCTTGGCACGCCAGAGAAGACGGATTGGAAGGCTTGCAAGCTAACCAAGGACGAGGAAACCAAACTGGTGGAAGACTTCAAGCACCAGTTCCAAGCATTCGATCCGATGCAGTACCCGTAGCTCGATTGAGTAAGAGACAACTTCGTTTCAAGATTGAGTAAAACGCTCTTCCATGTTTTTTCTCAGGTGGACGTTGCAAGAAAGAAAGAAAAAAGGAAACATTGTAAGGGAACCTGTAGTCATCGGTAAAAGGAAAACAATTTTGACAGCCCGAGTTTTCAGTAGCCGGTCCCGAGGACGAGATAAGCATTTGATCCCTGTCCTCGACCACTATGTAGTAAATTAAGAAATCATTTACTTCTTCAAGTGGTAGTCACTAGTTACAAAAAACAACAAAAAAAAAAAAAGAATTCCAGGAACTGTAATGAATATATAGAGCTCTTTTATCGGGACAAGATCTCTCCAATATCATGAAGGCAAGATCTCTCCAATAGGAACAAGACAACTTTGACTGCTTCATGAGTCTCTGGCTGGAGGTATGTGGAATGGAGAAAACAAACGAAATATCCAACGTGTGCCAAACAAGGAATGCGATTGATCGAGATGGACAACAACAACGTTGAAATTACAAGCTGTTTCGCAATCAATGTCTTATATTGGAGTCCCAAGTACATCCTCTCCACCCATGCTTTCACCAAATTAGTACTATTGATAAGATCGCCCACTTGGACATCCTATTGGAAATATCACCCACTTGGACAATACAAGTTCCAACCTGAGGAACATGAGAACATGGACGAGGAGATTGAGCTCGTCCGGCTCATCGATTCATGCAAGTCACTCTCCACGGCCCAATCCCTCCACTCGCGGATCAAACACACCAAAAACACGTTTCTTCTCAACAAGATCATCCAAATGTACGCAAAGTGTGGGAGTGTCACTCATGCTCGCAGGGTTTTCGAAAGCATCGCCACCAAAAACACTATGTCATGGGATTTCATGCTTGCGGCCTACGCTGGGAATGCCCAGATCGAGGATGCAGCAGACTTCTTCTCCAAGATGCCCAGGAAAAGCGTCGTTTCGTGCACAGCAATGATCGTTGCGTTCTCCCAGAGTGGCCACCTTCGTGACGCAAAGAACACATTCGATGAGATGCCCGAGAGAGATGCTATTTGCTGGAATGCGATGCTCTCTGCATATGCCCGAAGTGGGCATCTGCAACGAACACAGGCTCTGTTTGAAAAGATGCCTGAGAGGAATGTTGCGGCTTGGAACGTTCTTCTTTCGGCTTATGGCCAAAACTCGAGCACTGAGATCGCGAAAAGGGTGTTTTATGATATGCCACAACTGAATGTCTCGTCTTGGAACACACTGCTTTGCACATATGCCCACAAAGGGCATATCGTCGAGGCGAAAGACATATTTGATTCAATGCCGGAGAGGGATCTCATCTCTTGGAAGGCTCTTTTATCCGGATATTCGCAAAACGGGCTCGTGGAAGAAGCAAAGAAAACTTTAGAGAAAATGCCAGTGAAAGATATCGTGGCATCAAATGCAATGCTCTCGGCGTATACCCAAGGAGGGCACCTGGAACAAGCGAAAGAAATGTTCGACCAAATGGACGAACAAAACATTGTGTCGTGGACGACAATTGTAACTGCTTACGCACAGAGTGGGAATCTCCGGGATGCCAAGCACATTTTTGACAAAATGCCGCAGCGGGACATCGTATCCTGGAACTCTATGATAGCGGCTTATGCCCAAAACGGGCATCTTCACGAAGCTTTGGAGCTTTTTGACGAGATGCCGCAGGCAAACTTAACGTCCTGGAACACAATACTTTCGGTCTTATCTTTGCAGGAGAAAATATTCCGCGTTAAAGAAGTTTTCGATTCGATGCCAAAGCACGACGTTGTCTCCTGGAACACACTTTTAACAGCGTATGCCCACAATGGGCAGCTTGAAAAAGCGAAGGAGACCTTCGATTTAATCCCCCACAAGAACCTTGTGTCTTGGAAAGCCATGCTTTCGGCTTTCTACCAGCACAAGAATTTGGATCAAGCAAAAGCGCTGTTTGATCTCATGCCAGACCGTGATCTAGTGTCTTACAATGCGATGCTTGCTGCTTATGCCCAGAGCGGGCATATTCACGAAGCAAAGCAAGTTTTCGACGCAATGTCGCAGAGGAATCTCATCTCCTGGACTGCCATGCTTGCTGCATACTCTCAAAACAATCTCCTCGACAAGGCAAAGCTCATCTTTGACGAGATGCCGGATCGGAATCTCGTCTCTTGGACGGTGATGCTCTCGGCATATGCTCAAAACGGCAAGCTCGAGGAAGCAAAGCTCATTTTTGACCAGATTCCACGTCAAGATTCCGTCTCACGCACCGCCATGATTGCGGCCTATGCCCAAAACGGGCATTGGGACGAGGCCAAGGCTATGTTCTTGAGCAGCAAAGAAGATGGTCGCGAAGAACACGATGTGAACGAAATCTCTTGCTCGGCATTGCTCGCTGCTTACACGAGACACGGCTGCCCGGATCGAGCAATAGATATCGATCCAACTCCAAGTGATCCAATCTCTCAAACAGCGATCCTCTCGGCCTACGCGAGAACCGGCTTGATCGACAAGGCTCGAGAGATCTTCCTCGAAGCGCCCAAAGAGAACCTCATCGTCTGGAACGCGATGCTCTCGGCCTATGCCCAGAGTGGATCCCTGGACGAAGCCCAGCACCTCTTCCACCAAATGCCGCAGAGAAATCTCATCTCCTGGACGACGATGCTGGTGGGCTTCGCCCAGATCGGCCATCGGATGGATCGAGTGAGGCGATTCTTCGATTCCATGCCCGAGAAGGACTCCATCGCGTGGAGCGCGACGCTCGCGGCCTATGCCCACAAGGGACATCCCATCCACGCCGCGAACCTCTTCGCGGAGATCAAAGTCATGGATTCCACCGAGCAGAGCTGCTTCGCGTCGGCGATCCACGCTTGCGGCCACGAGGGCGACGTGAATCGCGGCAGGCAATGCTTCGTGTCCATGGCCATGGATTTTGGAATCGAGGCGAGGAAGCAGCACTACACCTGCCTGATCGATCTCCTGGGGCGAGCTGGGTACCTGATCGCGGCGGCGGAGCTCATCGATAGCATGCCATTCGTGCCGGATTCGCTCGAGTGGACGTCGCTGCTGGGATCCGCAGCGAGCTATCGCAGCGCCCAGCACGGGATCAAGGCTGCCAAGCACATCCTCCGCTCGGATCCCAAGAACACCGCCGCGTACGTGTTGCTGGGGAACCTCTCCGCGAGGCAGCGATTGGAATCAATCGCGCGGATCGACCAGGAACGTCACCTGGAAGAGAGATACTCGAAACATTCCAGACTCGCCAATAGGAGTTTGCCACGTTGAGATATTTTGCCACGTTGGCAACTTCTGCGACCGGAGTGGACAGTTTCTGACCACGTCGTCGTCGGCATTACAGTCCAATTTCAAATAAATAGTTTGGCGACCGCTGTACTAGATCGCATACAGCAGTGACGATCTGACGGTTCCGATACGATTGCGATTCCGAAATTTCCAGCTAATGCCTAGGCACGGAATAAAGTGTTCGTGAGAAGGAAAGGAGAGGGAAAGGGTTTCGCGCGCCTCCTCTTCTATCCATGGAAGCAAGCGATAATTTCCAGATTCACGCTTGCATCCGGCGCTTCTAGCCATTGCTGGTGAGGAGCTTATTGATTTGGCCGGGAAAATCTTTGAAAATTGCGCTACATTCGTCTAATTAGGCACAGGTATAGGACAAGAGGCTTTCTCGCATGCTTTTGGGTGCTTTGACAACTCCTTGCGCAGGAATCAAGCAGGAAACCTCGAAATCTTTGATTCACAGCGCGAGACAATGTCGCTGATCGAGGCGCACAACCTGAGGATCGTTGGGAATGGCCAGCGGATCGTCATCCTGAGCCATGGCTTTGGCACGGATCAATCGGTGTGGAAGCACCTCGTCCCCCACCTCGTCGATGAGTATCGCATGGTCCTCTTTGACATCATGGGCGCCGGCACCACCAACGCCGAGTTCTTCAGCTTCGAGCGCTATGCCACTCTCGCCGGCTATGCGCAGGATCTCCTCTCCATCATCGACGAGCTGGAGATCGACTCGTGCATCTACGTCGGCCACTCGGTCTCGGGCATGATCGGCTGCCTGGCCGCCGCTGCTCGCCCCGAAATCTTCTCCAAGATCATCCTTCTCTCGGCCTCTCCCAGGTAAGAAATCCAGTTTACTTTCGATTATACGCATAGATCTCTCGCGATAGATTACGCATAGATCTCTGTCTCTCTCTCTGAGCTCTCACAGAGCTCTCTCTAGCGGTTACTTAAATCACTGATAGCTTCTCTCTTCTATTCCAAGCTCTCTTCCTAGATTTCTAAGATCTCAAAGATCTCTTCCTTCTTTCTGAGATCTCCCATTCCAAATGGAGGATAGCTCTCTCTTTGGTAGTTTCTTTCTTTTGTCCATATGGAAAATGGATGGCTGATCTCGCGACTCTTCCAACTTTCTCCAGGTACTTGAACGATGAGAATTACTTCGGAGGCTTCGAGCAGCAGGATCTCAACGAGCTGTTTGACGCGATGCAATCCAACTTCAAGGCGTGGGTGTCCGGATTCGCTCCGCTGGTAGTGGGCGACGATATGGAATCGGCCACGGTCCAGGAATTCAGCCGCACGCTCTTCAACGTCCGCCCGGACATCGCCCTCGCCGTCGCCAAGAGCATCTTCCAGAGCGATTTCCGCCACATTCTTCCAGGAGTTTTTCCGCCCTGCCATATACTGCAAAGCAACAAGGATTTGGCGGTGCCCGTGGTTGTGTCCGACTACTTGGCGGCGCATTTGGGCGGAAAGACGGTGGTGGAGGTGCTCGCCGCAGAGGGGCACCTGCCACAGCTCAGCGCCCCCGATGTCGTGATCCCAGTGTTGCTACGCCATCTGGAGATGGAGATCTAGCAGTCTCTCTTTCTTTTGAGCAAGTGATCTTAAATTTAGTTGAATTTTAGGGTTCTTGAGGTAGAATTTTAGGGTTCTTGTGCTCTACGATGATCCGGCGGCTGGTCGGGCGCAATGCTGCGCATTTGCTGCGGAATCCACCACTCGGTAAGCCAATCACGGTCGCGGGGGGCCCTTTTTTATATAGATTTTCTGCCGCCAGGATCGAGAATCGGAGCTACCCCAGTGGTGGATTATATCGCGCAATCGATTGGTGAAGCCCAGTTGCCAGGATCAAGAATCGGATCTAGATCGATCGACAGCATGGTCCCATGGAGTGGAGCCGGCGCGAGACTCTTCGCCAAGGCGCCAAGGCAGCAGCCGATAAAAGTGGACGAGTTCCAGCACGAGGAGATCACGGGGCCGACGGTGGAGCGCGATCTCTCCGCGACGGCGAACGAGCTGCGCGAATCCATCGACTCGATGCTCCAGTCCAATGTGAAGCTCAAGCGCGCCTTGATCGCGGTGGGGCTCGCACAGCTCATCGCGGGATGGTGGGTGATTGCCAGCGATTACTCGGCGGAAACGCTGTGCCTGTGCCTCACGGCGCTGAGCGCCGGGTTGTCGCTCCATCTGGCGCTCCACCTCCACACCACGATGAAGCACGTCCCATTCTTCCAGAAGGTGGAGGAGCGCAGCCGGATGAGGATCATGACGCTGTCGATGCAAACGATCAAGGCGGTGGCGCTGATGATGAGCCGATCGAATGTGATCACGCGCTGCACGGCGATTGGATTGCTTGGCGCTTGTCTATATGAGGCTGTCCAGCCCAAGAAGGTCGTCTAGAACCCTAAAAGATAGAAAAGCCCCCATTTTCTTTCGACTAGCCTAGGGTTTAAGGATCGAGGCGATGATTCGAGGAGGAGCTCGGCGCCTGGCGGCGGCGCTGATCCGCCATGAGTCTGGTGAGCTCTCCAAGCGGCCTGCATTGCCAGATGCCAGTGTTCTTGCAGGTTGCGCGAGAAAGATTTCGACCCCGATTCTCGCGAATGCCCGGTGTTTCGATCCAAATTTCTCGCCATGGAGGAGGTTGGCTCCAATCGGGGGCAGTCTTCGGCCCTTCTCCGCCGGATCCGGGGTAGGCAAGGGTGAGGAGCGATCGATCGAGGCTGAGGAGATCTTTCTCGTCCAGGAGAAGCTAAACATGCCGCCAGGAGAGGGAGAAGAGGAGGAGCTCACTCCCGCAGCGGCGAGGGAAGCTGCCGACGCCGACGAATTCAAGGGCCGATACGAGCTGATGCAGGCAATGAGCTCCAAGCTCCAGCATTCCATCGTGGCGATGGGCGCGCTCCAGCTGCTGAGCGGCTGGTGGATCGTGGCCACCAAGTACGAGGCGCACACGCTCTACTTCTTCTTCACGGGGCTCAGCGCCACGCTCTCGTTCCAGATCGCGTATTTGCTCCACGGCGCGCTCAAGCCGCCGGCCAAGCTCGCGGATTCGAAGGTCTTGACGCTGCCGCTGGTGTCCGTGAGATCCATGGCCAATTTCCTGGCGAGGACGCATCTGATCATGTGTATCTCCGCCACCGGCCTGGCGGGCGCCTTCGCCTACGAGGTGGCTCCATCGCTCTTTTGATCAAGCTCAAGAACAGCATATTCGGCTGGAGATTCTCCCGCCACTTGGCCATTAGAGTTAGGGCTGGCAGGCAACGAGAATGAGCGACGCGGGCGATGGCGAACAAGCCGCGTAAGCACTTCCTCTCTCTCTCTTTCTCTTTCTCTTCTCCTTCTCCCCATTGTTTCTTCTCAAAAGTTCTCCATTGTTTCTCATCTATCTCTCTCTTTTAATTCTCTCATCGTTCTCCTTGTTTCCTTCTATCCTCTTGACTAAAGCTTTTACCACCTCGATTGATCCAGACGTGTCCCGGAGGCCTTGCAGTGTTGATTGGCGCAAGGCGCTCGAGGTGCCCCAGGAGATCAGTGCCATTCTCGACAAGTTCCGGGAGCGTGAGCTGCTGCTGGCCAAATGCGTGACCAAGGGCAGCGTCGGGATCCCCTTTTTCAACCAGATGCCGTGCATGCTCTTCCACCGGCTCACCTCTTTCGACTACAGCAATGCCCAGAATCTGAGCTTGCAAGTCGCCAAAGCTCGCGATGGCGGTGGCAGGCTTGTGATTTGCGCTGGAAGCACCGGGTGTGGAAAGACAAAGTCGCTCTACACGTTCTTCTCCAAGCAAGTAAGTTCTTTTCTCTCTTCATCTAGCTCTAAAACTTTGGTCACAGGAGCGAGGATTGCTTTTCACAACCAGCACTGTCGGCAGTGGCGGATCTTCCGACCTGGAGTTTCTCATGAACGAGGTTCTCCCCAAACACCTGGAGCAGAAAAACTACTATCAGAACTCGGTGGTGGTCAAGTTTTTCACGCTGCTGCTGCTGGTGGTGAGGATGTCGATCCTGTCGCTGTGCCGGGACTTTGATCTAGAAAAGTGGCTCATCTTCCAGGGGGGATGCAAAGGGCTCTACCACCCCGACGCCAATCTGGCCGACGACACGGACGTGTTTCGGATCTTCCTCGCCGCGGTGTGCCGGAAAGCCGATACTCTGGCCCCGGAGAACTTCGTCAAGGAGATCCCGGCGCTGCAAAAGGTGCTGGACGACCTGTGCATGCCTTTCGAAGACCGGCTCCCCACCATCGCCATCGACGAAGCCCACAAGCTGGTGAGCGCGTTCGAGGACGACTTTTTCGTCTCTCGCCGGCCTTTCTACCGCGACGTGGTGAACTTCTTGCTGGAGCCGACGCTGGCCCAGACCAAGCACGTAGTTGTAGTTTCAGGGACAGGATACACGCTGAGATACGAGGGCGGGAACCCGACAAGGCCTCCGGTCTGTGGTGATTTCGGGTGCTGGAAGAGCGGACGGGAGATGATCGAGTTCACGGAACAGGCGGTAGAGTTGACGGAGGAAGATCGCAGCGGGATACAGGAAATTTATCCGAGGTTTAAAGGGAGGTTTAGGCCCTTCGTCCAGGTGGTAGAAACAGCTCTCAACAGAGTGTGGAGCATCAAGGAAGCGGCATTCTTCGTGGAGAGACTACTGACAACCGAGGGAGGAGCGCCGCAGGGGTACTACAGGAAACTCGCGGAGCTCTCGCAGAGAACTGCGCTCATCGGCTTCATGAAGAGGGCCGTGATCAGCTACTTTTGCCTCGGGAGGGGCATCAAGATCCATGACACGCAGTCCGAGTCTCACAGGGTGGAGGAGATTGTGGACGCTGGTTTTGGCCGGCTGGTTGCGGGCGAGAGCGGGGGTCACTACGTAGCGGTGGACGAGTTCCTGGTGTTGCGAGCGGCGGCAAACTTCTTCCGGGACGTGACGCAGGGGAAGACCAGCTTGAGCTTGAAGGACGAGCTCCTGTCTCGCATTGGCCCCGACATGGAGCCGTGCACGAGCCACCAGGGGTTCTTGTACCAGAACTTTGGCCCGTTTGCGTTCCAGCGGATGTGGAAGCAGCACGGCGGGGTGATGCAAAACATGCCGCTGTTCTCCAAGATCTTGGGCGCTGACGGATGCCCCGAGCCGCTCAAGGCGGTGGCGGCGCTCAAGAGCGAGATCCTCGAGGGGCAGTCGGCGGTGTGCGCGAGCTGCGAGGGATACAGCCTCCGGGAATTTCTTTTGGAGCGGTCCAAACCGGCCGAGGAGCGGAGGTGCACCACCTTTGTGTGCCCCGAGCTGCTCGGTCCCAACGCTGCGTTCCGGATCGGATTCGAGAGAGAAGGAGGAGAAGCGGAAGCTCCCAGCGTCCAGTTCGATGGGTTTGATCAGTACAGCTACTGGATGCACCAGCTGAGCCAGGCCGAGCTCGAGGAAGCGATCTCCAGGTCAGGGATCCGGGAAGAACAGCGGGAGGAGTTTGAGCTGTGCGAGAAGGTCCAGCTTTGCTTTTTGTATCTCTATCCGTGCAGCTATCCTGAGCACTACGTTTTCAAGGCCAGAGGTGACGCGGTGCAGGTGGTTTGTTTCATCCACGCCGACAATGCCCAGTTTATCTTCAATTCGGCCGAGCTGGAGTTACTGGATTTGATCGGCCGGGACGATAGTGTGGAGGAAGTGGACGATAATTGTGGTGATACTTCCAGTGAAGAGTATCCATTTTTCTGATTAACATAACCAAGTTTTAGATTGAGAGAAAAAAATTACACCAACCTTAGACAAATTAGTAAGTTTTCAAATTAGTAAAAGTAAAACTAATTTTAAAAAACATAGAATTAATTAGTCAGATTTTATTTAGTGGTATGGACAGTATAATCAAAAGGTATATGATCACAATTTTGGGGAAAGTACATATCTCAAGAGGGAAGTGTACCTAGGATAGGTGGTTTGAAAAAAAGTTGAACTCTTCTAAACTATATGAAAAAAAGAATACAGATGTGTTTAAATTATTATATATTTTGAGCAGAACTTTTTTCTTATATATAGAAGATATATATTTTATATATAAGAGGATTATTCTTCTTTCTTTCCACAATCCAGAACTTTAGGATGACATTTCAAAACATTATGGTCTTATATGAACTTAATGGGTACTCTCCCCACCTTCCACCTTTAAGTGCTTTACCCATGTGGTTAGAGCAAAGTTTTAATGAGCCATATTAGTTATCTAAATAAATAGTGCCACCCACACTTGATAGGAAGCATTAACCATTTGATCTCTTAGGGGAACTAAAATTGACTCTTGAACATTTTAGCAAACTACTCTACTTGTCTTTCAATGTTCACTTTAACCTTAGACTTCTCAATGGTTATAACATCATCACACTCTTTTCTGGCCAAAGTTGTTCTATTATAGTCCAACCCCCAAACTCTCTCTACTATTTCTCTACTATACTTTTGGAACCACCTATAGCAGATTATACTATTTTCATCCTTAGCACCAAGCTCATATTTGTCAATGGTTTAACACTAAAAACCCACTATCCTTGCCTATCCTCTAAGGAGTATAGTTGCATTAACTTAAATTCTTATTAGACCGTTTTCTCCTTTTGTTCATTTAGTTATTGTGTGGACTATACTTGAGCTTACGAGTTGAAGTGAGCTCAAGTTTTAATTGTAGTTTAATACAAACATTAAAAACTTTAAAATATTAAGGTTATGGTGACCTTAATAATCTCATAACTCTCTACATATTATATAGATAAAAATGTTCTAAAGGACACTTCTTGTTTTAACAATTTAAATATTTACTACATGCCATAATAGGGATGTTTGTTAGAACATAAAACAAAATGTTTACAGAAAAAATATTCTTGTCACTTCCTTAAATCTGTACTCTATGCTTTCTGGCTAATAAATGTTAGGTTGTCAGAATTAAAAAATTATTAAATTTGAAATAAGATTCTATGTAATGCAATATAACCTTGAAAAGAAAAAAAAAACCATTGATGTAAATTTATTGCATATAAAAGAAAGACTTGGTTTTTTTCTAGAATACATTCTTGAGGGGTTTATCATAATATACTATCTAGAATTTATAGATCTTCATTCACACTTTTATTCAAAGAGGGGAAATACACACAATATGTTTTAGTGTTGGTAATTTTAACTTTTACAAAAAAAATTTCAAGGATTCAAAGGCTAAGAGATGTAATAACTATCCCTTTCAACAACATAACCAAACCACATTAGAGAATAAAAGAGAAAATAATGAGGATAGTGATCATGAGTTGAAGATAAATGTAATGACAAAGGGTGCAACAAATTGGGTGAAAAAGAATGCCCTCTTTCTTGTTTTAAAAAATTGCAATTTTGTGACTTTCAAAAAATATTCTATATGTTTTCTAGCTTCTAATGAAAATAATGACAATGATCAGTATGATGGTATATATATTC